TGTCTGGGGAGGGTGTCTGTGGGGTGGGGGAGGGGGTGCTGTGGGGGTGTGGGGTGGTAGCTGTGGGGGGGGTGTCTGTGGGGGGGGTGGTGTGGGGGGGGGGTGGTGGGAGGGGTGTCTGTGGGGCCTCACCCCCCACCCACACCCCCCCAGCACCCTCCCCCCACACACCCCCCCCAGCACCCTCACCCCCACCCCTCACCCCCACCCCACACCCCCCCAGCACCCTCACCCCCACCCACACCCCCCCAGCACCCTCCCCACACCCCCACCCACACACCCCCCAGCACCCTCACCCCCACCCACACCCCCCAGCACCCTCCCCCCACCCACACACCCCCAGCACCCTCCCCCCCACCCAGCACCCTCCCCCCCACCCACACCCCCCCCAGCACCTCACCCCCACCCTCACCCCCACCCACCACCCCCCCAGCACCCTCACCCCCACCCACACCCCCCCAGCACCCTCACCCCCACCTACAACACCCCCAGCACCCTCACCCCCACCCACAACCCCCGCCAGCAGCCTCACCCCACCCACACGCCCCCCCCCCACACCCACCCCCACCCCACACACCCCCCAGCACCCTCCCCACCCCCACCCCCCCAGCACCCGCACCCCCAACCACACCCCCCCAACCACCCTCTCCCCCCCCCCCCAGCACCATCACCCCCACCCACACCCCCCCCCAGCCACCCTCACAGCAGTGTAACAGTGCAGAATCATTATAATTGATCATATCTCTAATTAAAAGCCTTTTATTCTATCTATAATTTTAACCCCGTGCATCGCGAGGAAGCCTTGACACGTTCCCGGTTACGCGAGCGATGCTTTTTTTTTTAACTCGCAGGAGCCACGGCGACATCCGGCGCAAGGCTGTTAACGTGTCTTACAAACGGCCGACACTCTCTGCACCGCAGTTAGAGGAAGTCGCCGGACGTTATTCGACCACGACTCGCGCTCGTGCAGCGCCCTCCGCGCGGGGCAGCGTCTCAGAGCGCTTAACGGTGTAGCGGAGCCTGGCTCCGAGCCGGGGAGTGGGGTTGGGGCGGGGGAGGTGACCGTAAGTACGGCTGAAAAGGAAAGGGGGTGGGGGTGGGGAGAGAGAGAAGGGGGGGGCAAGGTGGTTGGATTGACCATGAGCGTTCAGGAGAGCGTTCCAGAGTTTCGGGGCGGAGGGGCTGATTGCACGACCTCGAATGATGGGGCGGAGGTCGCGAGGGACGAGCAGGAGGCGGGTGCCAGTCGAGCGGAGGTGCCGGGTGGTGGATTGGGGAGTGAGGAGGTCGGGGAGGTTAGGAGGTGCCGGGGAGTGAAGGGGTTTGGAAAACGAATCTCTTTTAGCCACGTTTCGTTTGATAAAACATTACCTAATTTTGATGGAACTGAGAATGATGAAAAACACTATTTGACATTTAGTTAAAGGTTTACTCTGTTCTAAGATTTTGGATTCTGCCTCGAGTTCTGAGGATGTGTTTCGTGACGATTTCCTGACATTATTCATGGTAAAAAAAAGCACAGTCATTTATCTAACGTATGGTTATCATTTGCTCGGAAGCAAATGAATAGATTATCTGTTAACTATATGTTCCTGAGACCAGGGCTCTTTGAATTACATTCCTTTACTCCACACTCTGGGTCCCAGGGAATCATCCCACTCAACTCCTGTTAATCCTGCAGCGGGAAAGCTTGCCGGACAGTGATATCAATGGCAAACTATGCGGTGTTCGCTGGTTAGACTCTAGCACTTACCCAAACCTGAATGCATACTCTGCGTTCCCCAAGCCTTGGCCCTCGCCCATTCGCATCTAATATTTTCCGGAATTAGGTAATCAGGAATGCGTCCCTCCAGGGAGAGAGAGCGCTTTCCATTCCAACCATCTATCTCTGGGATTTCCATGTGAAGGTGGGGCGCATGGGAATCTGAGCGTGGTTTGGATACTGTTAAGGATGGCGATGGGTTTCCACGTGTGTCAGATGCCCAGCTGGGCAAAAAGAAAAACACTTTTCACATCAGGATGTTTTGGGCAAACATCCACTCTCTGATCACAGCTCTCACCTCATTTGCCAATTTGCGATTGCTGCTTTCCTTACATTGTGACTTGTTTTTAATGTCGGCTCTTTCAGGGATCTGTTCAGGTTCCGAGGAGAACGCTGTTACCAAACCAGGCCCAGGTCGTGCTTTGGTAATCTCAAAGCGCTTCACAGAATATACTGTAAAGTGAATTAACTGTATATTGTGTGGGCGAAACTCAACAGCCAATTGCACACAGTAGAGTCGCACAAACAGTCGTGGGTTGAGTGACCAAATTATTAATATTTATTTGGATATTTTTTGAAGGGATTATTACCCCTGACAAAGCAATCCTCCAATTGACTAACAACTGGGTTCCTACTTACTGCCAGGTAAACAGAGGCGTGTGGAGCAAGGAAACTTGCCCAACATTTTGCCCTTTTAACAATGTCATCTAGGAGGAAGTCAAGCTGGTGGTTTGTAAACTATTCTTTTCTTATTTATGCTTGATTATGGCACAACACGGTTTAGAAAATATTGTGAAACATTTATGTTATTGCCAGTGTTGTAGTGCGCACGAACATCAATGTCCGACATCAATACTTTGAAATATTAGCTTATTACAATTGGTATTATTGTGAAATACCTGAGCCAGGAAATGCCCACAGTACTCAAGATAATTTGATGACTGGATACCCAACCATACAGACAAAAAGGCTTATTGATGTGCAGAGCAGACCAGTCGCTGTGGTTTGGGAATCTTCCAATTCAGTTCCAGATAACCCTGTAAACTAACGCCTTTATAGGCAGGTTGTCTGAGCTGGAACATGAGTAGGAAGCCTGCCATTGCCCTCCTAACCGTACCCTCCCTGCCCTCCACTCTTCCTGATCCCAACCCCCAGTTCGGGTGCCAATCCTTGACTGCCCAGCGCTTTGGGACCTTCTCCTGACGTGAATGGCGCTGCGTAAAAGTAGTTTTTTGTTGTTGCTGCCAGTGATCGCAGTGGTTGTCTGTGTGCTTTTAGCTGGTTACAACCCAGCAGGTACCTCACCACACGCTCAGGGGTCCTAAATCCTTGGCTCTCGCTAACCTGCACATAACCTCTCTGGGATTAAGCGAGCAGGTGCTTCCCTCTGAGGAAAGAGTGCACCCTCTGCTCTCCGTACCAGACAAGCAAAACTTTTCATACGTGAAACTCGATAGTTTTGATTTGGAGGCTTTGCTTAACCATGTTGATTAATTTCTGAGTGACCGACACCTGGCTCTCAATTTTTTTTGTGTGAAATCAAGGAGGAAGAAAGAAAATATTTATTTTCCTTTTGTTTGAATAAAAATCAGGAATTCGATATTCTGTCCTTACTGGCTTCAGAGCCAATGCAGCTCAGTAACCGATGATAGCGTCGATTTTCACACGATTGAATTTCCTCAGTGACTCTGTCTACAGGAGAACTTGAGCAGCAAAAACGTGAAACACTGTACAATAAGTGTGAGGTTCTGTGAACAATGGCTGACACTTGCTCCGCGATGCTGCCCTGTGTGAAAGGGACTACAGTATATAAATTATTATTATGATTCTTACAGGTTATGTTTCTGGAAGCGAAACACGAAAATATTACGTATGCGTCGCGCGAAAGTTTCTCAAATCCGGTATCTAGCCCTCAGCTGCCAAAACATGGATTGAATGACCAAATTATTCTTATTTTTAGAGCGAGAGACCCGGGTTTGATTCCTAGGCAGGGAGAAATGTTGGGCAAGTTTCCTTACTCTCACTTTTTAAATTCTACTTTGGTAAGAATTGTTCCTTTAAAGAAAGTACAAAATAGGTTTTAATAATAATAATAATCCTTGCATGTGATACGGCGCCTTATCACGTCTTCGAGACGTCTCAAAGCGCTTCACAGAATGTACTGTAAAGTGAATTGACTGTACCTTTTGCGGGTGAAACGCCAATTGTGCACAGCAGCGTCCCACAAACAGCCGTGGATTGAATGACCAATTTTTTTTTTTTTTTTGAAGGGATTATTAACCCAACGTTTCGCCCTGCCTGGGATAAATAATCCTGCATATCCAAAATAATTGAGAGTGGTTGACTCCCCCTATTGTATTCATTTCTGACAATAATCTTCTCCACATAAATATAGCTTCATCCAATCAGAAGTATTTAAACCAATAAACGGTGACAGAGGATTTGTAAGACAGATACCTTCGGTTCTTTGTTTTGCAGAACAAGGTACATTATTCTGATATTAAATTGCAGATCCTCATTATCTAATCCAAGTAATGTACCTTCTCAATGAAGACAGGAGGTTGAAACACTTTTAAACAATATCCTGGTAAAAGACTCTGCTATTCTAACACCTTGTTATTTGTGAATTGAATGGGTTTTAATCCGCCAGGGTTAGCAAATTGATTATGTTTGACAAACCTGTAGCGTGACAAGCACAAAGACTGGCACATAATTTTGACGGCACAAGAATTCTCGATATATATTTGGGGAAGTTGGGAGTTAATCTTGAATTTTAGCTCCGTGTCAGTCATAATCAACATCATGTGATCACATGCAAAAAACTGTAATCCTACTTTCACCTTCACTACCACTGCGCAAATGTGAAGATAAACCTGCCAGTAAATCTGACAGGGGCTTGTCTGGTCTCTGCTGTTCGTAAGACAGCAAGGTTTCTCCTGAGCATGAGTGAATCCAATGTAAACAATCTCATATTATTACTAGTCCACTTTTGATAATTGCCTTTTTTATTTCGGTGTGAAGAACATTAGACAATACCTCACCATGAGTCTGAGCCCGGAGGAAGTGGAGAAGTTTCTGGACAGCAATTTTGCCTTTGCTAAGGAGTACTATGACCTGACGATACATCCCAAAAATGTTTCCAATCACATGGAGGCGCAGGTATTGCCTGTGGACATCAGCAATTACAGGGAACTGGACTGCGTGGAGGAGAGCGAGCTCATTTTTGAGCTGATTCGGGAATTGCAGGACGTCAACCCGGAGAGGACGGTCTTCAACTGCCTGCGGAAAATTGCGTTCCTCATCCAAGCCGATCGCATCAGCTTGTTCATGTACCGAGCCAGGAACGGCACTCCCGAGCTTGCTACCAGGTTCTTCAACATTAACAAGGATGCTGTCTTCGAGGAATGCTTGGTGGTACCGGAATGTGAAATCGTCTTCCCTCTGGACACCGGGATCATTGGCCAAGTGGCTCAAACCAAGAAAACAATCAATGTCGCTGATGCCTCCAAGGTACCCAAAGTCTTTTACTATTCCTCAAGTCTACTGCGATTCTGGTAATAATCCTTGCATTTGACATAGCTCCTTATCACGTCTTCAAGACGCCTCTGAAGACAGAATATACTGAAAAGTGAATTGACTGTACATTTTGCAGGAGAAACGCAGCAGCCAATTGCGCACAGCAGCGTCCCACAAACAGTCGTGGATTGAGTGACCAAATTATTATTATTATTTTTTTTTAAAAAAGGAATTATTACCCCCAGAAATGTGATACGCCAATCGACTAACAACCGGGTTCCCACTTATTGCTAGATAAACAGAGGCGTGTGGAGGAAGGAAACTTGCCCAAGGTTTCGCCCTGCCGGGAATCGAACCCAGGTCTCTCGCTTGCAAGGCAGTGCTCTAACCACTAAGCTACAGGACTCCAAACAAGCACGCCTAACAGAGAGATGGGCAGAAAGTTCTGCAGGTTTCTGTTTCCTGGTGTAAGCAACATTCACTTCCTGACCTAACTGAATATACAGTATATCAAAGTGAAAACCCCAGCGCTAGGATGATTTTGATACTTAGATCACAAAGTAAGCACTTTAATATCTCAGTCTCGCTTTCGCTAAGTCCATTCCAGCTTTTGTTCTCTTTTTCAGTATAGCCACAATCACATTTGGAACAATTGCTGCACAGGTTGACCACAGAGTAGCAGTACTGGCCTATGGTTTCGCCCTTAAGGTTTTGCCCTCAAAATACACAGTCACTTTAAAGTGTTACAGCATCCACAACACTTTACAGTGTGGTGGATGTTGGATCCATTCAAATTTTCGAGATTGAGGTGGATAGATATTTGTTAGGTAAGGGTATCAAGGGATACTGGCAAAGGAGGGTAACCAGAGTTGAGGTACAGATTAGCCGTGATCCTATAGAATGGCGGTACAGGCTCGAGGGGCTGAATGGCCTATTCCTGTTTCTATGTTTCCATGTTAGTCTACTTTTGAGAATTGTCTTCTTTATTTAATAATAAATAATCCTTGCATTTGATATAGCGCCTTATCACGTCTTCGAGATGTCTCAAAGCACTGTATACTGTAAATTGAATTGACTGAATATTTTGTGGGTGAAAGAACACCAAAGGAGTTTGGTGTGAAGAACATCAGACAACAGATCTCCATCCCACCATGAATCTGACCAAGGAGATTGTAGAATTTCTGGACAGCAATCTCACCTTTACTAAGGAGTACAATGCAGTGTATATACTTTACAGTGTATTCTGTGAAGAGCTTTGAGACATCTCAACGACGTGAGATCAAATGCAAGGATTATTATCACAGTACAGTGGTGCTAGGTGGGAATAAAAGCATTAGACACTAATATGAATTATTCAAACTAATCCCAGCTATTTATAACCAGGAGCATTACTTTGAAGGTCATAACCTACCTACAGGATGATTTAATGAAGCTTCTTTGTCAGCTAGTTTTGTTGTTTAATACGATTTATTTTACAGATGTAATGTTGAACTGCACACGAATGCAGTCTGTAAGCATTGAACAGAATTGTCTCTACAGTTGTTTCACTCAAGAATAAATTTTGAACAGTAAAGGATTGATAGCCATTATAACAAAATTATTTATCCCTTTCTCGGACCTATAATACCTTTTGCTCATTGATTATAAGTGCAGTCCTTGACATTTCTGAGATTGGGGGGAAATTGAGATAGTGTAACACTATTCAGATAGTGTAACATAGAAACATAGAAACCGGAGCAGGCCATTCAGCCTCTCGAGCTTGTTCCGCCATTCTATAAGATCATGGCTGATGTGAAGCTCAAGTCCAATTACCCACCCTTGCCCTGTATCCCTTAATACCCTGACCTAACAAATATACATTGTAAATACGTTCAAGAGGAAGCTGGACCATCAACAACAACAACAACAACAAATGGCATTTGTATAGCGCCTTTCACGTCAAGCGGATGTCCCAAGGCGCTGGGAGAGGGGGAGTAGAAGGGTATGGAAGGGAATAAGAAATGGGTGGAGACTCGGGTAGAGTATGAACACCAGCACGGACTGGTTGGGCTGAATGTCCTGTTTCCGTGCTGTACAGTCTATGTATTTAAATACCATTCAATAGCATCCACAGAATACTCCAGTATGTGTAGGCCTAGAGAGAGGCATTGTTGGATGTCGAGGGTATTGATCGGAAGATACAAGGGGCATCTGTCCCAATTGTTGATTATTACCAGTACCTGGTGGTTGTGGAGGACACTGCCCTGAAGGACCACGCAGAGAAGGCGTGAGGGCACTCTGTTCATGCTCGTCTCTCCTCAAAGACAGCAAACCCCTTGTGTGTTGTGTTAGTTATCTCTTAAGTTTATTATTAAGCTCCCTGAGACGCCAACCTGCGATATACAAATGAAATCTTGTTCTTGTTGTTGTGATTATCAGGTGGGAATTTGACTGTTACACACTGTTATGTTGGTTGTTTTCCTGTTATAGACCAGCTCCTTCAGTAATTTTGTGGATGAGCTGACAGAGTACCAGACAAGGTGCATGCTGGCTACCCCAATCATGAATGGGAAGGACGTGGTCTCTGTTATAATGGCGGTGAACAAAGTGAACGGACCATCTTTCACCTCGAAGGATGAAGAGGTAAGGATTTTCGAGCTTCTTCCTGTAACGTATCGCCATGTTAAACATCGGGAAACTTTTCAGTGAAGGTTCTGGAATTCACGTGCTGCAAAACTGAACAGGAATTTGCTCTTTATTCACAGGTTATGTTAAAGTACCTGAATTTTGTCAACCTGACACTCAAAGTCTACCATCTGTCTTACCTCCACAGCTGCGAGACCAGACGAGGGCAGGTGAGCTTTTGGTCCTCATCTGGCAAAGTCCTACAGCATATGAGCTTCAGGACAGACTTAACAACAACATCAACTTGCACTTATATAGCGCCTTTCACGCGAGGTACTTCGACAGTCATTGACTGAATCTCCAGATCATCCCCCGGCGTCCTGGCCAACCACCCCCCAAATAAAATTGGTCCTTCACATCATGGCTGTTTGCAGGAATGTTGGCTGTCAGAGTCACCTGCAACATTTTATTAAGTTCATTAAACTTCCATTGTATTTACTTTGTAAATGTTTATCATCATTGAATCCATCAATTTCATCAACACAACCACTTGCATTTATATAACGTCCCCTCACGCAGGGCAGAGTCCCTCAAGCAACTTTTCCGGCACGTCTGTCTGTCCATCACTAGGCCGGTGATCGGGGACAAACCTTGGGGAATGGGGACTCTCTGCGCAAGTAACCAGAATAACTGCAACTGCACTAGTAACTAGACTAACCAACACTGCAACTTGGTGCCAACTGACATTCGCTGAAACTGACTAGTTGAATCTAATGAATTTTCAATAGCAGAAACTGTAGCAGTACAATGTTGTTTTTGTTGTGCACCTTAAACTCTACACGTATTTGCCTGGCAGGTTCTTTTGTGGTCTGCGAGCAAAGTATTCGAAGAGCTGACTGATATCGAACGACAGTTCCACAAAGCCCTTTACACCGTACGGGCCTTTCTCAACTGCGAGAGGTACTCTGTGGGGCTGTTGGACATGACAAAGGAAAAGGTTTAGTGCCTTTTATTTGTTTTCATTCTCCCAACTTTCACTATCAAGCCTTTGACACACACAATGTTTAACAGCACGAAGACAGTGTAGCTGTAATGTTTCCTGTTCATCGTAATTGCAGGAATTTTTCGATATCTGGCCGGTGCAGATGGGTGAAGTACCACCTTACACTGGACCGAAGACTCCAGACGGACGGGTGGGTCACTCTATCCTTTCAATCACATTTCCCGTTGTTATTTCTAATACTAATAATCAGCATAATAATATAATTCACTCGCTCCGACCCTGGCTCGGATTGTTAAGCGCCTGCTGACCTGGAAAGCGCTATGTAAATGTAAATTGCTATTGCATTGTTACATGCCTCAATTTATCTTTTTTTATTCACCCGTAGGAAATAAACTTCTACAAAATTATTGATTACTTGCTTCACGGAAAAGAGGAAATCAAAGTCATTCCGTAAGTCCCGACGGGAATAGACACAGGGAGCTTGCTACAGTTTTCGGTTTTATGTGTCAATATGCCTCACTGAACCCAATGGTGTGAAAGTGATACTGAGAATGAAGAATGTAATGACTATTTTTCAGGAAAAACAGACAGTGTAATCCTGTAGCTCAGTGGTTAGAGTGCTCGCAAGTGAGAGACCCGAGTTCGATTCCCAGCAGGGTGAAACATTGGGCAAGTTTTCTTACTCGACACGCCTCTGTTTACCTAACAATAAGTAGGATCCCTGTTGTTAGTCAATTAGCAGATCGCTTTTCTGGGTGTAATAATTCGTTCAAAAAAAAGATAATAAATAAGTTGGTCACTTAATCCAGGATTGTTTGTGGAAGACTGCTGTTCGCAATTGGGCTGCTGTGTTTCACCCACAAAATATACAGTCAATTCACTTTACAATATGTTCTATGAAACGCTTTGAGACGTCTCGAAGGCGCTATATCAAATGCAAGGATTATTATTATATAGAGTAATAAAATTTGATTTAAAAATGAGAAAACAGATTTAAACATTGAAGGCTGATTTATTATTTTACTCAAAAAGCCTATGTATGAATTATTCCCGCGTAATATATACTCAGGCTGGGAAAAAGTCCAGTTTGGCAGAGTGGATGTAATAGTCAATGATGACTACTGTTAACAAGATTCTGGCTGTCTAATGGTAATAAGGATGCGCTTATAAAGGCTGAAACCCCTCAAAGCACGTCACAGAAAATCCACCACTTTCATCGACAGAACTTTGCAAACAATAGGACGACTTTTTAAAAAATATTTTGCGTCACATTAAGATGACTTGAGGCTATTCTAAATATGTTGAAAATGAGTCTTGTGACATCTTTCGACAACAACAATTTTCCACACAGAAGTTGGGAAATTGCAAGGCGTTTACCTCATTTTGGGGTTTGGGAGAGGAAGCGAGGAAATGTTGCTTTTCTCAGGACTTCCCGACAGCAACAAACACATTAGGCAACCCGTCTCGCAGCATTGTCTATATGAACATGGTTGTTTATCGGTGCCCAGTGTTGGTGCTTTAGCTGTCACCATATGGATTCTATAGGCACCGGGTGATTTATTTCTAGAGGAAATATACCACAGCCTGTTTACAACTCTCCCCCAATCTATAGCACTTAACAAACAAAACAAAACAAACAAACAATTACATTTAAGCAGCGCCTTTCACGTCGAGAGAACGTCCCAAGGCGCTGGACAGTCAGGGATTTGGACCCGAGTTGGGGGTTTGGAATCTGGAGGGGTGGAGGGCAGGGAGAGTAGGGGTAGGAGAGAGCGTGGTTGAAGAAGAGGATCTTAAGCTAGTCGCAGCTAATATGTTCACACACCAAAAACAATTAACACTGCCATCTCTGCCGGAGTCCTGTAGCTCAGTGGTTAGAGCACTCGCTTTGCAAGTGAGAGACCTGAGTTCAATTCCAGGCAGAGGGCGAAACCTTGGGCACGTTTCCTTACTCCACACAGAGCCTAATAATAATCCCTTCAAAAAAACAAAACAATAATAAATTGGTCATTTTCAACCCACGACTGTTTGTGGGACATTGCTGTGCGCAATTGGCTGCCGCGTTCGCCCACAAATATACAGTCAATCCACTTTACAGTATATTCTGTGAAGCGCTTTGGGATGTCTAAAAGACGTGAAAAGCGCTATATCAAATGCAAGGATTATTATTATTATTATCTCAACACTGTTTTTGATTTAATCGTTTCCTTTCACTGAATCTGCTTGTCTTTTGTCTTTAGGAACCCACCTGCAGACCACTGGGCCCTGGTTAGCGGGCTCCCAACGTACGTGGCTGAAAATGGTCTGGTAAGCGTTTCAAGCCCGTTTTACACAAACTGCTAATTTCCTCACACAAATTGCCGTGACTTTCCAATGCGATTGGGAACGGAGGTTAAAAGGGTGGAAAAATAAATCAATGTTTTTAATGTCTTGTTTTTCCAGATATGTAACATTATGAATGCTCCCGCAGATGAGTTCTTTCAATTTCAGGTAAAACAAATCTTCATTAAAACTCTCAGTGTTGCTCGGAATCCAAAATGAAAGCACATGTGTGTTTGTCACCTGGAGAGTACTACAATACAATACAAAATTACATTTGTATAGCGCCTTTCATCACTACAACAGCAACAGCTTGCATCTATACAATGATGTATTACAAGAGCGACTTGCATTTATATAGTATCCTTCACGTAGAATGCCCTGGAGCACACTATAATGATGGGGATGGAGGCTGAGGAGGGAAGAGGGATGAAGGGGAGGTGACCATAGGAGCAGTCAAAGAGCCAGTTTTTAAGGCCAGTCTTGAAGACGGATAGCGAGAGAGAGCGAGATGGAGAGGCTCAAGGTTGGGGGGATTCCTGAGGTTAGGATTATAGAGTTGGAAAGCTCGCACACCGATGGGGGGGAAGGAGGGTGATGATCAACATTAAACACTGACTCCCCATTTACAGACAGAGCCATTCGATGATTCAGGCTGGTTGATGAAGAATGTTCTCTCAATGCCAATAGTGAACAAACGGGAAGAAATTGTAGGAGTCGCCACTTTTTACAACAGGAAAGACGGAAAACCCTTTGATGAAATGGACGAAACCCTGATGGAAGTAAGTGGGCTGCATTACCAATTCCTTGAGCATCCCAATAGAGCTCGAGAGAGGGTGATTGTGTGCTACAGTCTGTCTTTGTTTTTTCCAGTCCATGACCCAGTTCCTGGGATGGTCCGTTTTGAATACTGATACGTACGACAAAATGAACAAGCTGGAAAATAGGAAAGATATTGCCCAGGGTCAGGTGAACTATCATGTCAAATGTTCCAAAGAGGAGATACAGAACATACTGGTACGTTGAAAAAAGTATTCAAATCTAATCTGGGTGGCAAAAAAATGCCACATGTGATGTGATAAGTATCACATGACACGTTACATTTTACACTCTTGTAGTTTCTTCTCCCCTCAAAAGACATCAATATTGCTGATATTATTTTTTCTTGAAAGCAAACCCGTAATACCGAGTGACTGAAACTTTTCCTTGTCAGAAAACCAGGGAGATCTTTGGTAAAGAACCGCAGGATTGTGAGGAAGACGAACTCCATCAGATTCTGGTGAGTAAATAACATAACCATGATAACATGACCATAATAATGCCACAACAACACCATAACTAGAACTGTAGCACACCACAGGAGAGTAATGTCACCCAGATTTACTCTAATTACTCTATGGGAACAGGAGAAGGCCATTCAACCCGACGAGCCTGTTCCACCACTCCATTAGATCATGGTTGATCTGTACCTTAACTCCATTCACTCGCCTTTGCCCCTTATCCCTCGATACCCTGACCCAACAAACATCTATCCACCTCAGTCTTGAACATTTCAATTGATTCAGCATCCACAGCCTTTTGTAGGAGAGAAAGTTTTCCATAACCATTTGTGTAAAATAAAAAATGCTTCCTGATTTCAATTGCCAGAATTTGAGCGTCTCTCCACTCGGAAAGGAAGTGTCTAAACTCCACTCGCTCACACCTCCCCACACGAGCCTGAAATCAAGAGCTCACTGATCGCTGGCAGAACAACGTTGTGAGCAACAGAAAGCCACATTTTGACACCTTTTATCTTGTTTTTTTTCAGATTAATGAACTCCCAGATGTCAACAAAGCGGAAATCTACTATTTTCACTTTTGTGATTTTGAATGGTCGGAGCTAGAGCTGGTGAAGTGTGGGATTGCGATGTACTTTGAACTGGGTGTGGTGGACAAGTTCCACATACCACATGAGGTAAACAGACCTCGTGTTTCGCCCACACAGTCAATCCACTTTACAGTATAACCTATGAAGCGCTTTGAGATGTCTCAACAATGTGATGAGACGTGATATCAAATGGAAGTCATTATTATTATTTTGTGCCAGGAAAAAAAGTCTCTACAAACTCAGATAATTTATGAATCCGCGTAATCCATACAATCATATTAAAAATGGCTCAATTTTTGGCAGCAGCATCAATCAACACTTGGTATTAACAAAAGCTTCCATTAGCTTTCAAGATTGAAATTAATTTACTTATTATTTTAATAACTTGGTCACTCAATCCACGAATGTTTGTGAGACGCTGCTGTGAGCAATTGGCTGCCACGTTTCGCCCACAAAATATACAGTCAATTCACTTCACAGTATATTCTGTGAAGCGCTTTGAGACGTCTCAATGACTTGCTAGGCGCTATATCAAATGCAAGGATTATTATGATTATTATTATGACCAAAGTGATTTCACTGAGACGCTTTAAACAAACACTTTACTGTGTCACAGGTGCTGGTACGATTTATGTACAGTCTGAGTAAAGGATACAGAAAAATCACCTACCATAACTGGCGCCATGGTTTCAATGTTGGACACACAATGTTTACACTGCTCAGAGTAAGTTTCATTTGCTTTTCCACACTTTTTTTGAGCGGTCAAGTGACCCCAAGCCCTTTCCACCCATCTGCCGGCCACAAGTTCACATCCAGGAATACATCGCTTCCCACCAACCTAGGAATAGTTCATACTAACTATGGACTAAGATAACTAAGCTTGACAATCCTCCTGATAAGTTAGCCACCCTCCTACCCACCCTCCCTGCCTTCCACCCTCCCCAATCCTGACCCCCATCTCGAGTCCAAGTCCCTGACTGTCCCTTGTGACGTTCTCCCGACATGAAAGGCGCCATACAAATGTAATTTTGTACTGTATTGCAATTTTGTATTGTATTCACTTCATAGCCCTTTGGAGGGCCTTTGCTGTGTACATAAATGAGCCACATTTTCCCACATATAAGCAGTCACTAAAATCACGTGAAGCACTTTGTGATATTTCGACACCATGATAAGGCGCTATGTCAAACTCAAGGATTATCATTGTTATAATCTCCTCTCCAGAGGAGTTTCCTTTACCATTGTTCTCTGTAATCCAGATAATATCTATGGATATTCTGAGTAGGATTAGGTTTCTCCTACAGTATAAAATCTGTGCAGTATAAAATTCACAGCACAACCATATAGTGTTGTGCAAATAGTACTGATCTCTCTCTCTACATCCTCACAGCATTGTGCAGTGTAGAGCACAGCCCACACACAATAGCAGTAATCTCATCTGACAGCTTTAAGAAGGGCGTCTTTGATTCCTACAAGCTTGTTGGTATAAATATACCAGGTAATGTGATATCCCACTAATACCAAGGTGGGGTGCAATCAACGCGACATAAGTCTCAGTAGAAATATGAGATGAAATTTGTCACCTATTTCAGCAAAGGAACAATTGGGGGTTTGATCAGCTCAGCACAAGCAGGTTTACCTACTGAGGCACCATATTTGCCTGGGGCCATTGCTAATAGGAGACATTTAAGACACAGACACATGTTAAAACATAACATCATCAAACACAGAGCACTCGTCTCGCAAGCAAGCAGACCTGGGTTCGATTCCCGGCAGGGCGAAATGTTGGGCACGTTTCCTTACTCCACACGCCTACGTTTACCAAGCAGTAAGTTGGAACACGCTTGTTACTCGATTGGCGGATCGTTTTTCCAGGGGTAATAATTCCTATAAAATAAATGTTAAAAAAAATTCACTCACACAATCCCACAACTGTTTGTGGGACACTCCTACTGCGTTTTGCCCACAAAATATAGTCAATTCACTTTACATTGTATTCTGTGAAGCGCTTTGAGACGTCTTGAAGACGTGATAAGGCGCTATATCAAATGCAAGGATTATTATTCGTATATTCTCACACATACGCTTTCCTTCAGGGACCGGCAGGAGGTCAGTCAGGTCTGGAGTGAGCTGGGGCAAGTAGTGGTTGAGCCAGGGTGCCAGGTTTTGGAGACAGACAGAGGCGGGGTGGGGGGGCAAAGATCAGCAGGAGCTGTTCGGAGCTGGGCTCCAGGTCAGTCATTCTAACTCAAGAAAAACACTGATTTCAAAAGGATGTGAACAACAACAAATTATATTATATCCACATAATTGATTTGCATTGCCCTGTGTTTTTTCCTCTCAGCTGTATCTTCTTTTGAAGTACTAACGTGACAGTCAGTATCAATTATATTGGGCTGTGCAGTATCTCACTGGTTGGTAAGAAATCAAAAATGTAGTTTGATCTGCATTGGGATATTAACCCTGAGCTCTGCCTTTTTGTGATTAAGACCGGAAATCTAGAACGCTACTATACCCACCTGGAGAGGTTTGCTATGCTAACAGCTGCATTCTGTCACGATATTGACCACAGAGGAACCAATAATCTCTATCAACTGAAGTGAGTAATTGATAGTTTCTGATAGAATGATTGATAAGCAAACTATCCCATTATAAAACAAATCACACAGTTAATACACTCTACATTATATCCTGTGCAGCACTTTGAGATGTCCACCCGATGTGACAGATGCTATGTCAAATGAGATTATTCTAATGATTTAATGAGTGTCACAAAGGAAGTAAACCTCACCAACCACACTCTCTCTCCAACAGGTCACAACATCCATTGGCTAGACTTCATGGGTCCTCCATATTGGAACGTCATCACTTGGAGTTCAGTAAAACTCTGCTTCAGGACGAGGTATTATCAGTAAGCGAGTGCCCTTTTCCAGGGAAAACACTAAGTGAATTTTTAGGAAGTAATTAGTCTGATTAACACCCAGACATTCCAGTAATTAGTTACACTACAGGTGCCACTTCTATTATTTGTAATGGAGAAGAAATGACGTAAAATATCATAGAAAGGGAAACTATCTAGTAAGATAAGCCGGAGGAATACCCAGTTAGATAGAGTGATATGACGCAGTAAAAGGCCATTCGGCCCATCTAGTGTGGGTCGTGTTTATACCTTACTTTACCCCCAACGCTCATTCCTATTTCCTTCTCCGTAAGCCTCTATTCCACTCTCCCAGCCCCCTCTATTCCTATTGCTAATGAGCTGTATTGGACAGTGCTGATTTCACATTTTGTGTTTCATTCCTTATTTGAATATTGTTGCTAGGATTTGAATGTCTACCAGAATCTCAACAGAAGACAGTATGAACATGTCATTCATCTGATGGACATCGCTATTATTGCCACAGACCTGGCATTGTATTTCAAGTAAGTCTTTATTTTTGCCATTTCTTTTCGTTTTGTGCAACAATCAATCTTACGTAAGCTGGTTTAAATAAACTATTTTAAATAGTTGTTAAAAGAAACGGAGGGGAGGTGAGAAGAAATGTTTTCACACAGCGAGTTGTTTGGATCTGAAATGCATTGCCTGAAAGGGTGGTGGAAGCCGATTCGATAACAACTTTTAAGAGAGTAGATAATTATTTGGGGAGGACAAGTTTGCTGGACTATGGGAGGAGCGCGGGGAATGGGATCGATTTGGATAGCTCCTTTAAAAGAGCCGGCACAGACATGATGGGCTGAATGGCCTCCTTCTGTGCTGAATAATTCTACGATTCTATGAAATGTGGTGAGCAATGAAAATTAACACAATTGTGTCCGTATAACAGAAAGAGGACCATGTTTCAGAAAATCGTGGATCTATCGGAATCCTACGAGGATGAATCAAAATGGGTGGACTTTATGATGTTAGAAACAACCAGGAAAGAGATAGTCATGTAAGTCCAGGTTGCATCGCTTTTCGAAATAATAATAAATCTGAAGTCCCAGCTTATCTCAGACCGTTTTGTCATAGAATTGTCCAAGATTCTCATTTTGCCTTCAATTGGTGAAACAATTTTGTTTTAAGAACTCCAGGTTAAGACTGACGTCTTGAGGGTTTTTTTCATGACTCAATGCAATTTTAAGCTTTAAGATAAAAATGGTTTCATATTCCACCCTAACACAAGGTGGAGTTTCAAAGCTAAGATATTTTTTCAAAGGACGTCTTTAAAATTCCAAGACTGCAATCTGACATGAAAGGTGATAAGGTGTAATTACCTGGTGGTGGGAGTTGGGGGGGAGGGTTTGGCATGAGTGAGCGCAAGTTACTGGAGTCCTGCTGTAGCTCAATGGTTAGAGCACTCGCCTCACAAGTGAGAGACCTGGGTATGATTCCCGGCCGAGCGAGACGTTGGGCAAGTTTCCTGACTCCACAGCCTGTTTACTAGGCAGTAAGTAGGAACCCAGTTGTTAGTCGATTGGCGGATTGCTTTTCCGGGAATAATATTTCCTTCAAAAAAATAATAATAAATTGGTCACTCAATCCACTGTTTGTGGGACACTGCTGTGGGCAATTGGCTGCCGTGTTTTACTCACAAAACATATAGTCAATTCATTTTACAGTATAAACTGTGAAGCGCTTTGAGACGTCTAGAAGATGTGATAAGGGGCTCTATCAAATGCAAAGATTATTATTATTATTAATACCACTCTGACCCAACAGTGTCTGTTGAAGATATTCTGGTGGTGATAATGGTACAAACTGTAACTGAGATACTGAGTTTCAGTTCTTAGTTGTGTCTCCTAATTCCGAGACGCTACTCCCTGTGAGGGTGGCTATGTATAAATGCATTGTCTGGTTCTGTATTTCACATTAGGGCCATGATGATGACAGCTTGCGATTTGTCTGCCATCACCAAACCTTGGGAGGTGCAGAGCAAGGTACAAACACCAACCTTTGACGTATTTGGATTGTTTTTGTGATAGATTGTGCGAGTTGCCTGCCATTACCTGGTAATTGTTGGCTGGGAAAAGTCATTGACCAACTCCTGTTGTTGCACCATTACTTGCTCATTCACATATCTCCAGCAAAAGCCCTGGCTCAGTGTCTGAAACTCCAGGATTTCACAACGAATGATTGGGGCAATTAGAGTAGTGGTTTTGTTACTGGACCTGTATCCTAAAGTCATGGGCTCGAATCTCTCACATAGCTGCCGGATTGTTATTAAAGAATAAAATTAAAAATTCCACCGCCCCCCCCCCCCCCCCCACCCACACCATAAATAAAATAATAATACTAATTTGGTCACTCAATCCACAACTAATTGTGGGATTCTGCCGTTCCGCAATTGGCTGTCGTGTTTCGCCCACACAGTCAATCCACTTTACAGTATATCTTTTGAAGCGCTTTGAGACGTCTCAACGACATAAGGTGCTATATCAAATGTAAGGATTATTATTATTATTAACACCTTCAGGGAAAGGAAACTGATGTCCTTACCCAGTCTGGCCCTTGCCCCCCCACCGCCCTCTACAATGTCCTGGCGAGCCCTAAGCCCCAGGTATTGCCAGTGTCGTCACCTCCAAGATGCAGTCACACTCCCCATTGCGGAGTCCTGTAGCTCAGTGGTTAGAGCATTCACCTTGCAAGAAGAGACCTGGGTTCGATTACCGGCAGGGCGAAATGTTGGGCAAGTTTTTTTACTCCACACACCTCTGTTTACCTAGCAGTAAGAAGGAACCCGTTTGTTAGTCGATTGGTGTTCGCTTTTCTGGGGGCAATAGTTCCTTTAAAAAAAATAATAATAATAAATTGGTCACTTCAATCCACGACTGTTTGTGGCACAATGCTGTGCGCAATTGGCTGCCGCATTTCGCCCACAAAGTATACAGTCAATCCACTTTACAGCATGTTCCGTGAAGCGCTTTGAGATGTCTAGAAGACGTGATCAGGTGCTATATCAAATGCAAGGATTACTATTATTAATAATAATAATAATAATATTAGTATTAGCACCAATGTGAACATGAAAGGTTAACAGAAGCTGTTTCCCACCTGTATCTCTTTCTCCTCCTCCCCTCTGCAGGTGGCTCTCTCTGTGGCAGCTGAGTTTTGGGAACAGGGTGACTTGGAAAGGACTGTGCTGGAGCAGCAGCCTATAGTAAGTGGAATGTCGGCAAAACCAGAAATACTGGAAGCACAGAGCAGATTGGGCAGCATCTGAGAAGAGATAACAAGTTAAGATGTTTGGGCGTGACCGACCCTTCATTAAACCCTTCTGAGCTGTGATGAGCTGTCCATCACAAAGCAATTGACATCACCTCCTTCAGATGTTGATACTCAATGTGGAGCTCCTTCTTTTACTGTTAGTGTATGTCAGGAGCCGGCACAATCCCCAACGTTACCCAAATCCCCTAAAATACCAGTTGTATCCTCTGTACAGGGACACATACAATTGATATAATGTAAGGCCGCTTTCTGTGCTGTAAGTTTCTGTACTTTTACGGTATTTGACCTAAACGGCTTATTTTGCTACAGCATTTTTGTTTTTTGTGCTTTATAATTTTCTGTTTAAAGGAAACTTTGGTTTACACTAAATCACAATTTTTGCCTTTCGAGTCTATGGCCAAAATGAATTGTTTTTTTGGAGAAAAATTACCGCCCCCCCCCCCCTCCCCACCCCATAGAATGTCAGAATGAAGGCTTGAATTGAATTGAAACACTTAACAGTGGAGGGAGAATTGCTTTAAAGCTAATAATTGCTGGGAGACACAGTCATTCCCAGCATCTCAACAAGCGACTGAGAGAGAAATTAGGTCAACATCACAGGAATGGAAGGGCGGTGACTGAAACAGAAACTCGTGTCTTTCAGACGCCCGGTGACATTATGAACTTTGTGACGTTTCTGATTGCTAAAATTATGTGCTTGATTTCTTTAGCCAATGATGGATAGAAACAAGGGGGCCGAACTTCCAAAGCTTCAAGTGGGTTTCATCGACTTTGTGTGCACGTTTGTGTATAAGGTACGCAGAGTATCCGGCAAGAATATATTGACTGTATATTTTGTGGGCGAATGCACCACTTCCTGAAATGTTATTTTCTTTCTAATAAATATCAATTCAGAAGTATGAAATATGAACTTAACATTAATAACCGTTAAGGTTGCTTTACAATTGCGTGACTGTTTCTTGGACATTGCTGTGTGCACATTGGCTAAGCACTCTAGCACTACACTTTACAGTAAAATCCTGTGAAGCACTTTTGAATGCCAAGCTGCTGTATATCAAATGAACGATTATGGATATTATCATAAAACGAGTCCTTATTGTGAATTGCAAGGGTTTTGCGCTTATACTGATTATTGAGGTTGTCATACCTGGATTATTGGTTCCAAACAGTGATCACATCACACCTGAACCTGCAGGGTCTCAGCACTTCAATAAACAGAGGTGTCAACAACACAAACCAATTCTCCAGAGGTTAACAACCACACCTTAACAAAACAAACCGTACATTGTATTGTGCACTGTATCTAATGAATTTATAATTATTGGGTACCTGTCTATTTCCATTCTATACATTAAAATTGCTAATAAAACATTCCCAATATACACAATGCTTAATCTTGTGTTGTATTTGTGGTTTTAAGCCTAAGGGAGAGTGTCTCCTCACCACTTACTGATTTATCCTATTTTGGTGCTGCTCTTTCTAAACTTGGCCCCATCCTGTGAGTCTCAGCCCTTCAAACGAGGTTCTGAATGAAAGAGATTGAGCAAACCAAACCCAACCATTGAACAAACCTATCCCAACAGTACGATTGCCTTCCATGGAATCCAGGAAGATTAGGACGCAGTTTTTTTACCCAAATGATAGTGGAAATCTGGAACTCTCTCCCCCCAAAGGCTGTGGATCCTGGATCGATTCACATCTTCAAGACTGAGGTAGACAGATGTTTGTTAGGTCAGGGTATTAAGCTCTATGGGGCAAGGGTGGGTAATTGGAGTTGAGGTACAGATCAGCCATGATCTTATAGAATGGCGGAACAGGTTTGAGGACTCAATGGCCTCCTCCTGCTTCTGTGTAAGGTTCTGATTGTCAAAGTCAAATGGAGATAAACATTTCCACACGTACATCTGGCATGCCTGCGGCTAGTCTTAAACGGTGGAATAAAATAATATTATTATTGATTTTCAATTTAGGAATTCACCCGATTTCATTCCGAGATTCAGCCCATGCTTAGCGGGATACTCAACAACAGGAAAGAGTGGAAGGAGCGGGCAGATGAGTACGAGGGGAAAGTAAAAGCCATCGAAGCAGAGAAGAAGCAAAAGGAAGAGGAACTTGCAGCAAAACAAGGTTAGAGATTGGAATGTGAATGAAAAAATTGTGGAGTCCTGTAGCTCAGTGGTTAGAGCACTCGCCTCGCAAGCAAGAGACCTGGGTTCGATTCCCAGCAGAGTGAAGTGTTGGGTAAGTTTCCTTAATCCACGCACCTCTGTTTACCGAGCAGCAAGTATGAACCTGGTTGTTAGTTGATTATCGGATTGCTTTTTATTCATCAAAAAATCCAAACCAACCCCTTGTCCCTAACGTGCTGAATGGCCGGAGCTGAACCAAGACCCCACTCAGACTGGGAAATGGATTGAGCTTCTACAGTTGCAGAATCGATACTGGGGATTGGGATCAATGAGTTGGAAGTAACTAATTCATGTCACCAGTGACCAGCAAGAAGTCAAGTGGATGGACTCTGTCATTGCTGATATCGTTGAGTCCTGTAGCTAAGTGGATAGAGCACTCACCTCGCAAGCGAGAGACCTGGATTTGATTCCCAGCAGGGCGAAGTGTTGAGCACGTTTCTTTACTCCACACGCCTCTGTTTACCTAGCAGTAAGTAGGAACCCAGTTGTTAGTTGATTGGAGGATTGCTTTTCCGGGGGTAATAATTACTTCCCAAAAAAAAAAATTGGTCACTTCAATCCATGACTGTTTGTGGGACGCTGCTGTGCGCAATTGGCTGCCACATTTCTCCCATAAAATATACAGTCAATTCACTTTACAGTATATTCTGTGAAGCGCTTTGAGACGTCTCGAACGATTCAGTCCAGCCCTTCTGGCCAAATGTCAAATCCTCACAGTTTAATCATAACGGTAACGATAAATACCTGGAACCTAATTGATAACAAGAACCACTTTCTAAGAGCTGTGATTGAAACAAGCTTCGGCAAAAAAAAACGGTTCATCTGCAATTAATGTTGGGCGTTTTAAGCCGAAGTAACCAAGAGACGGGATTCAGGCACTAATTTGAATGAGTAGATTTTGATAAAAGTCAGTGGATTTATCTGTATGTGTGTGAATGCTGATTGCTGTTGTGGGCTGCGATGTGGATTATTCTACGCTGTGGATTTACGCCAATTAGTCCTGACGTCACCTTGTTTCTCTCTCTTTTTTTCCAATAACAGCGGCTGCAGCAGCAGCTGCAGCACAAGCTTCTCAGTCCAAGACGTGCACTCTCTCTTAACTAAAGGCCTGAGGAACTGCACACTCTTATTAGCCCCAAACCGCAAATTGCTCAAGATGGGGGCTCAGGTAATAGAAGAGACGCTACTACGAAAAAAAAACAATTACTTTAGAGCTTATATTGAAGAGTAAAGAGAGTACGTATTGATTTGTGAGAGGGAATCGGGAGCTTCTGATTGTAATGGGAGCGTCAGTTGACTGTGCTGCTTAGGATCTTTGTCATTTACATCTTTCGTAAAGAACTCCAGGACAGATTCCGTCACCATCATACCTCACCACAGACTCTCACAAACAATCAAGTGTACAAGAGCCAATGTACAACCTAGGGCTCGTTAATCAACTGTCGTAATATAGTGTGACTGACATTAACGCTGTTGCTTACTCTAGTGAATTGAGGAGGTTTATAGAAAGACCATTTGGCTGCTTAGCTGTGCTACCTGGTTTCCCAAAGAGCTCAGATAAGGCAGAGCTTGTTTTGCTCAGTGTTACTGATCGCAGAGTGTAGAGATATTTTGAAAAATATTGATTATTAGGTCATAGGGAAATGTCACACAATCTTAATGGCACTTGTTAGATTTCCTGTGACATTTTATTGTATCGATTGATTTTTCCTTTTTCTACTGAACCTCCAATGGTAAGGCTGACCTAGTTTTATATAGTTAAGCTTGACCGGGTTTCAGTGAGAGGCAATATTCTCTTTATCTTCATCGCTGAATAGATACATCGTCACACAACTCATTACACTGACCTACACACACTCTGAATATACCGCCAGGATCAGCCCTTCCTACACCCGATATCAGCAGATTGAGAGTGGAGTGAGGAGTAAAAGCTGTTACTCAGAGAATTCTTATGAATCTCACATCCTCAGTGTTCCTGTGGCCCCCTCTTTCTGTATCATACCTTCAATACTCAATAAATCAATACCTCATAAATGAACATCGTTTTATTCATTAAAAAATCCAAACCAACCCCTTGTCCCTAACGTGCTGAATGGCCAGAGCTGAACCAAGACTCCACCCAGACTGGGAAATGGATTGAGCTTCTGCAGTTGCAGAATCGATACTGGGGATTGGGATCAATGAGTTGGAAGTAACTAATTCATGTCACCAATGACCAGCAAGAAGTCAAGTGGATGGACTCTGTCATTGCTGATATCGTGGAGTCCTGTAGCTCAGAGGTTAGAGCACTCACCTCTCAAGCGAGAGACCTGGATTTGATTCCCAGCAGAGTGAAGTGTTGGGCAAGTTTCCTTACTCCACACGCCTCTGTTTACCTAGCAAGAAGTAGGAACCCGGTTGTTAGTCGATTGGCGGATCGCTTTTCCGGGGGTAATAATTCCTTCAAAAAAATAATAATACATTCGTCCACGACTGTTTGTGGGACACTGCTGTGCCAATTGGCTGCATGTTTTGCCCACAAAAATATCCAGTCTATTCCCTATGAAGTGTATATTCTATGAAGTGCTTTGAAAAGATTCAAAGACGTGATAAGGCGCTATATCAAATGCAAGGATATTGTTATTATATAAGCTTTAGACTCTCGACATCTAAATAAGCAGTTTTGAATATAATATAACTAATCTATTACATTCTATGATCATTATCACATTTAGAATACCCAGGGTCCAAAAATGTTATTTGCTTCCTGTGTGAGGTTTACTTAACGGGTGAAGTAATATTCAGAATTGCTTGCAGAGCAATATCAGCTATTTGTATTGCACAGCGTATTGACAGAGACACCCCGCCACCTGCACCTTGACTCCTTGCAATGATCCAAAGGTTCAAGGAGTCATTGTTGACAGGAAATTAGATGTCAAAGGGCTTTAGGCCCCTGATGGTTTGAGACACAGTAATTCTGACACTATACTTCATCACTTCAGATAAATATCCACCCCCCAAACAACTTTTGATTTGTGCAACCTGGCAATTCTGCCCAGACCCCAATCCAGCCTACGAGCCCCAGTCCAGCCGTGGGGCTTGAGAGCACAACCTTCCGACCTTAAAAGCGAGAGGGCACGAGCTGCAGAGCTCTCTGAATGACCTGCGGCTTGTGGAGGGAAGAGTTGGGAATTGCGACACGCAGGGTGTTGGCGTATCGGAGCCTGGATGTGACAGTGGGGTTAGCTTACCCACACACTGAGCAAACAATAGGCCGAGCAGTTAATGCTGGTATTCTGGCTGCTTGGAGCCCGTCACAAATTTTGGAGCTACGAATGGTGGTGTTGTCTGTGCTGTCCTCTAGTGGCTGCCTTTAAAACCACCCAGTGAGTCTCAGGCGTGCCAACTGGTAGCAAGAGGTGCTAAACACAGGTGAAATTCACCGTGGATTCTGGCAGTGAACAGAGCAGATTAGTGCAGAGCTGGAAGCTCCCAAGTATAATTCCTGGTTCCAGTGCCCTGAGATATCTTTCCGAAGTGAAGGGCGCAACACAAGTGTAAGTTGTTGTTGTCGATGGTGGCATAGCGGGCTGTTGAGTGCAGTTGGGGTGGCAGGAGGCACACGAGGGCAAATTGGCATCAGGCTGTCATCTTAGAATCAACCACAACAATTTGCATTTATCCAGCACCCTTCATGCAGGATAGCGCCATGGGATAGAGTCGACAAACATGTCGGTGTTAAATGTACGGTTGTTCCTTTAGTTAAAGCGCTCGGAGAATCTACCCTGCGTGAAAGGTTAACCTGTTCGTTATAACTGCAAGTTGTTATGATAAGACGATATGACATTGAAGTGGGACTCCTTCCAGTTCTATTAGTTACCAATTGTGGGAGAGAATTGTTGGCCTGACCCAAGGGGAAGCTTAGTTCGAGGCAGTCTGTTCCCATCAGTACCCTTGGCGGGACTCTTTAAAACAAACCCAGCCACATTTTATGCGTGTGTGAAGATCAGCAGAGGCTTTATTATGGCTCAAAGAGAAAAGACTAACAGGAGAGACAAAAGGAAACATCTTGGAGTATGAGGAGCAACTCTGGAGCCAGCGCTGGTTTGGGTGAGTGAGTGAGTGAGTGAGTGAATGTGTGAGTGAGCGAGTGAGTGAATTTATGAGTGAGCGAGTGAGTGAATGTGTGAGTGAGCGAGTGAGACGGAAATTCTCCTTGTGGCTGCTTCTAATGAAAGCCCTCCAGTTGTGTAAAGGTGATCACTGACCACAGTCCGGATCGGAGATTCGTTCCAGGTTTTTTCCCCGTTTCCTGCCTTCGACTCTCAAATCACATGGACTGTGTGGTAAAGTTGTCTCCTCGGTTTCTTATGTACAAAACGTCCAAGTACTCTTCATCCATGGCGTCTTCTATCACATAAGGCATTTCTCCTCCTTCCTCTTCAAATTCTGAACAACAAGAAAAGGTTTGAGTTTGAGAAATTCAACGGTTCAACGAAACTCTTCGACTCATCACTTGAGTTTAAAATGACCAAAGGCACGAAGCAGATTTACTGATATGTCAAACGATTTTTAAAGAGAAACATGGAAGCAAATGATTTAAGAGGCCATTCAGCCCATCGTGTCTGTGCACTGCAACCTGATTTTCTAGGACACACCATTGATCTCACTGTCCCTTTTGTTGAATCTGTGTGTGGAGGGAGGGGGAGAGAGAGAAGGGGAAGGGGAGCCAATTAGAGGTACTGTTAACATTTTGTTGGCGAGGAACTTGTGGGAGTTTAAAAATAAGGAAGTCCTACCCTCACATAGCAACATAGGAAAGAGGCCATTGAGCTGTTCGTTAGATCTTTTCGTCCCACCCTATCGTCATACATCTTTATACCTCTACTACCCAAAGTCCTGTCATTCCTCTTTTAAACATCCCCTACGATTAACACCTCAACAGGTTTCTGGGGTAGAATGTTTCTTAGCTTCACAAGCCGCTGTGGTAATCTATGTGAAACGTATCTGACAGACATGAAGATATCATGTTCTTAATCATATTCAGAGCTACGCGGCACCACCCCTCGTGAACTTCACTATATAAATGCAAGTTGTCCCTCTGGAACTCCATCCTGCAGTCCCTCCGCCTCGCCCCCTCCCTTGCCTCCTTCAAGACCTGTCTCAAGGCCCTCCTCTTCGACCGTGCCTTTGGTCACCCTCCAACCTCTACTCCCCTGGCCCTCCACCCCTCCTGATCCCAACCACCATCTCGGGTATTGATCCCTGACTGTCCAGAGCCTTAGGACATCCTCCTGATGTGAAAGGCACTGTACAAATGTAATTTGTTGTTGTTAATCATCGACAAATTCACTATAAACACCCAAAGATGCCAGTAGAAATGGCCTGGCCTGGGAATTGTGCATCTTTACAACAATACCTGCATAGTAAACAGGGGTATCCAGAGTGGAGATGCTGGATGTGCTGTCTTCACATCTCCTGTGTAAGTAATCAAAACCTGGTTAATATTAAGCCTGTAAATGACATTCGCACTACACAAAAGCCTCAATATCTTTAACAATATTGAACTGACTCACAAATTTGCAACTTGAGTCAATACATTTGGAGTCCTGTAGATCAGTGTTTAGAGCACTCGCCTCGCAAGCGAGAGACCTGGGTTTGATTCCCAGCAGAGCAAAACCTTGGGCAAGTTTCCTTACTCTAAACGCCTGCTAATAATTCCTCAAGAAAANCAAACAAAAATAAAATTGGTCACTTCAATCCACGACTGTTCGTGGGACACTGCTGTGCGCAATTGGCTGCTGCGTTTCGCCCACAAATATACAGTCAATTCGCCATACAGTTTATTCTGTGAAGCGCTTTGAGATGGCTGGAAGCCGTGAAAAGTGCGATATCAAATGCAAGGATTATTATTATATTATTATTATTTGCCTCCCAAAGCACAGAGTTACTACACTTTACAGTGAATCCTGTGGAGTGTTTGAAATGCTTCAGCGATGTAAGGCGCAATATCAAAGCTTATTATTGTGGCTATTAACAGTTTCACTCACTATTGTTGCTTTTACAAAACCGCTCGCAGCAGAAAATACAATTGTTGGGGCAGTTTTACTGTTTTTTTTTCAGTTTTACTTACAAGTTATCAGTCAAATTGTCCTCATCATCCTCATCCTCCATCGGAAACCTCTGCAGCATCACTTCGTCTTTGGACTTAGCTTTCACAGAAAGATGTTTTAAAAAGTTCACGTAAACCTCTTAAAATGGTCATCAGGCTAAGCGCACAGGAGTTCTATACTTAAAGGTTAAAAATCGCGTTAAACAAAAGAGATTTGAAATAGTCTGGCATTAGGAATTTCATGGAACGAGTTACAAAATGCAAGGCACTGTGATCAGAGCTGCCTTCGTGGCCATTCCTGCCATCACAGCTGATATTTAAGAGGGTCAGAGAGCATAGAATGACACCAGAGGGTTTGTTGGGTCATTTCACAGCCATTCAAACTCCAGTCGATATCACTGACCTGCCCATAAAAATACACAGTCAATCCATTTTACAATATATCCCGTGAAGCCCTTTGAGACGTCTCAACGACGTGATAAGGCGCTACAGCAAATGCAAGGATTATTATTACTGATAAACCTACATCTCCTGGAGAAAGCATTATATAGAAGTTCCCTGAACCCTAAAGGCGTCAACAACAACAACAACAAATTACATTTGTACAGCGCCTTTCAAGTCGGATGTCACACAAAAAACGCCAGAATATTAACCTCTCCCCACATTGCCACGGTTGATCCATGTTCTCCTACTCTTTCGATTCTATTTTTTATTCTCTCTCTCTCTCTCTCTCTCTCTTTCCCTTCCTCTCTCTTCCTCTCTCCGTACAGGATCAGACGGTTTGTGTTGATTTCTGTCTGGCCCTGTGTATGATCTGAAGCAGATACTCATCCAGTCCTTTTGTTGAAGGAGTTGGTCTAATTCGACGTGAATAAGTCTGACTCAGGCATCTGACAGTAAATATTCTCACGCAGACATTTAGCCTCAAGAGCCTCTCTCTCATCTTCAAATCCCTTCATGCCCTCGCATGCCCTTCCTATCTTTCCGACTTGCTCACGCCCACTCCACCACCCACTGCCTCCGCTCGGGCCAGCTCCGGCCTCCTGTTCGCCCCTCACACTCTCGGCTCCACTACCGTCGGCCGTGCTTTCAGCCACTACACCCTGAAGCTCTGGAACTCTCTCCCCCAATCACTCCGCCTTGCCCCCTCCCTCCCCACTTTCAAATCCCGCCTAAAGACCTTCCTTTTTGACCGTGCTTACGGTCACCTCCCCCCTCCGCCCTCTCCTCCATGGATGGGGGTCAGACTCCGCCGCAGTTAAACACTACCCGGCGAGAAGAGTGCTATATAAATGCAAGTTGTTGTTGCTGTTGCCGTCGTCCAGTGAAATCACAACACGAGGAAAGCAGATCATTTGAGGAGTAACCTTTAATAATCTAGTCTATATCTTAAAGGGGATTAACCTGGAAAAGTGATGGCTTTCCCACAAATTGGCCACGTGCTGCTCCTGGGAAGTCTAGCCTGTGGGCCGCATTCTTGCCATTGGCACATCGTGGCACAGCTGGTGGAAACATTGGCCGCGTTGACATCTTCTAAACTTGAGGAAGGACACGTCAGATGAGAGTGTCCAACGCCAACCGCCACTGGTTTCTCCTCCTGCTCTCTCTCTCTCAGGTTCTTTTTGATCTCTGGAGTCATCAGACTCAGTTTGGTGAGCAACTCCGCGGAGTCGAAGACATCTTGAATGCCCAGGTCATCGGAGGCGAAGCTCACCATCAGGCCAATATCTTTGCTGATTTGAGACAAGCCTTTGTGCACTGAGCAATGGACACCTTGGAGGTTGGTGTCTATCTGGTTAAGACCAGTGTGGATGGCGTCCCATATGTTGGACATCCCTATGTGGAGAGCGTCCTGGATCTCAATCAAGCCATTCTGCAGAGCATTGAGATGATCTGCCATTCCATTCTGCAGGGCATCCTGCATGTCTGCAAACATGCCAGACTGCATTGCAGCCTGCATGTCCGTCAAGTCAGACTGCATGGTTCCACGCATATTGGTCGCGTTAGGCCCATGCACAGCGGTTTGCATATCTCCCATGGCCGCCTGCAGATCGGCGCTGTCCGCGCTTTTGCCCTCCTGCAACCTCAGGAAGAGAGTCTGAAAATTCAGGTCCAACAGCTCCTGTGGGACCATGGCCGACATGAGCTGCATCTGGTGAAGCTTATGTTGCTTTGCGGAGGGTCTGGCAACCGCTCCCTCCATCAGCTCGACCACCACTGCCTGCTGAGAGGTCGTGAGCTGCGTTGGCTGCTCCTGTGATGACAGTATCCATGATGCTGTTTGATCACCAGGACAGATTGTCTTGGTTCTGGAGTCTGTCCTTTGGACCACCCACGACTCTGGCACATCTGTACAGATAGAAAGAAACAACTATGAAGCTATCACTCAGCCAGCTGGGGGTCCGTCTAATATAGATGCCATTGGTTGGTTGGGGGAGAGAGTGGGGTGATGGGGATGGGGAGAAAGTACCAAGAATGGAAAATGTAGATGCTTAGAGTACGAGGAGGAATAAAACGATGCAGATGCAGGCACCAGATACAGGTAGCCAATGTTTTGCAAAGAGACTTGTGACGTTAGACGGTGGAGGTATTAGCAGAAGGGATAATCCAACAGAGCTAAAGCAACTTTGCAACCATGGGAGAAATCAGTCCCATTGAGAGGAGAGCAGCAAAATAATTACTGGAGGTTCTGGTCAAGCACCAAGTCGAGATGAAGAGACAGATGAAGAGACTGGGGGCCAAGGCGCTGCCATGCTGTAGGTGATGGCCTTCAGATGAGACAGACCATTGAGGTCTCAACCGGCTTTTCTTGTGGACATTAAAGATGCAATGAAAATAGAAAAGTTTCTCTAGTTGTCCAGGCCAACATTCCTCCAGATAAATTGTCATTTGTTTCACGGCTGTATGTAGGATATTACATGGATGCCCCATTTGCCTACACAAAAAAACAGTCACTACACTTGACAGCAATCACCTCTGAAGTGTTTTGTGACGTTTGGATGTTATTGGCGCGATATCAAATGCAAGTGCGGAAAAAAAAGAGTATTAATTATACACACAATCTCTCAAGTGATTTCAAGACTGTGCAAAGCCATAGCATCGATTAGGTTAAGAAAACAGTCATGAAAATTACTTTCAAAGAAATCTACTGAGTGAGAGAAACCAATGTATGATAGATACGTACCAGAGAGTCCAATTCTGAGCAGATGTTCTCCCGTCAGCTGCTTAGACCAGGTTTTTGTGGCTTCTTTGGTGTAAAATGCAACGTTTTTTATATCCAGTTTTCCTTTCTGTTTTTCCTTTGTGGTTGTACACTGTGTGGAATATTTGCTTCCTTCTGTGGCCGGGAATGAAGTATCTGTGCCAAGAAGTACTTAACGCCTGTTCCGTGGGATGGTGCAGTGTCGTAAATTGGCTGCCGCTTTCCCCCAGGCACACACACAGTCACTCCACTTTGTAGTGAGTCCGTCGTGTGAAGCACTTTGAGGAGTCCTCCTGACATGAAAGGCGCTGAGTCAAACGTAAGGATTATACCTTTTGATTTGATCAATTGTCAGTGCCAGTAGTTCAGCTTGAGAATTATTTTTTTTATCTCCTGTGGCTTTGGGACACCCTGGGACCTCTTTCCGATGTGAAGGGCACTATACAAGTGTAATTTGTTGTCGTCGCTGAGCTTTAGCCGGCATTTTCCATCCTTTCTGGCCATCGGGACCTCACACTACAATCTTTCTGATGAAGTCAGCCACATTGGCCAGGCCTGGTGCTGGCTTGGCTGATTTTATAATAATAACTAATGATAATACTAATCCTTGCATTTGATATAGCGCCTTATCACGTCTTCGAGACGTCTCAAAGCCCTTCACAGAATATACTGTAAAGTGTAGTGACTGTATATTTTATCACTGTCAACAAGACTCTAGGGGGAGCTGAAGAGAGGAACAGATAGGAGCATCTGAAACCCCCACCAAACAAACTGGGGTGGAGATTTGTGGCAAAAGTTGCACTTTAATTCCAAACAGTCCACAGATAAACCTCCATTTAATCCTTGCAATTCAAACATAATGTGCACCAAAACCAGCGAGCTGTCGTTCACAATAACTACTAGAACAATCTATTGTTAAGAGTACACAGAGCTCAAAACCAATTTTTTTTATAAATGGACTATTTCAGTGTAAGAATAATTCACGTTTATGTAAATACCTTTGCAAAATACAGAAGAATATGGATTCCTTATTATGTCTCCGTTGCCTATGGATCTCCTGTGGTGAGTAACCAGAAGTGAAGTTAATACTACTGCAGTTGTTGTATGTGTGTGTTCGTGCGTGCGTGTGTGCGTGTGCGCGTGTGTGCGCGTATCTGTGTGCGTGTGCAGTATGTGTGAGCAGTATTATGTATGCAGACCAGTGTGCGTGTGCGTGGCTGTGCAGTATGTGTGCGTGTGTGTATGTATGTGTGCGTGTGTGTATGTATGTGTGTAGGCATGTGTATCTGCTTGTGTGTGTGTACTTGTGTGCGCATGTCTATGTGCGTGTGCAGTACTATGTATGCAGACAGTGTGTGTGTGCATGTGTTTGTGCATGTTTGCACGTACACTACTAAGTATGCAGACCAGTGTGCGTGTATGTGTATGTGTATGTGTTGTGTGTGCAGCTCCATGTATGCAGACCAGCTGATCTGGTTCAATATGTGCCCATCTACCTTCTCCTGACTTTGAATATTAGAGTCAGAAATTAATGAGATCTCGTGACACAGACACTGCGGATAAAAGGCTTCTCTCTTCCTGATGTACTTACATTGTATCAGATATATTTTCCTCTTCGGTCTCATCTTCCATTCCAAACTTGTCCTCCACTCCTTCATTATTCGACTGAACTTTAAAAAACAGGATAAACAGGATTTAAGCAGGGAGTCTGCCTCAAGATCGTACATCTCGTATGAATTTTTTAAAAAAAAAAGGCATTTACACTTTCAGTATTGTTTAGCCCATTTCATTTTTACTGCTGTGAGATATTCTGGTTGTTGCTGAAAGACAGGACTTGAAATGCTGTGTATTTTATAATGCAAATATCCCACTAAAACATTGGTCATCCAACTTTTCTGGGGGTGATAATCCCTTCAAAGAAAATATAATTTGGTCACTCAATCCACCACCTTCTCATTATTTCTCGATCCGTTTCTCAGCCAACCAACCACACATGGAAGGTATATTCCAAGTATACATTACAGGTAATATTCATTCCTCATTAAATATCATTCCCAGCTACTCTACTTTGTCTGTGAGCCTTATGTTTGCACTGGGCTTTATTGTACAGTGCACATCCACTCAGAATATTCTACTTTACTGCTGCCTTGAGTGAGTCAATCTATTACAAAGTATTATTTATTTATGAATGTCAGGGGTACAAGGTCAGTCAGTGCCTATGGCTCCTGTCAGGCTACAACCTCACAACTGGAATTTCTACCCACACGATAATCCAATTATCTGCAATAATCCAATTTACAACTCTTTCTTGGAATCCAAACATTTTCATTTTCGTCCCCCACAAAATGCAGTCAATTCGCTTTACAGTATAATCCCTTGAAGCGCTTTGAGACAATCTCAACGATGTGATAAGGCGCTATATCAAATGCATGGATTATTATTTTTTATGGTCTTTCTGATAGCTTTTATCTAAGATGTTTCCAAACATCAGCGCACAGCTATAACATACACCACCATTCTCCAAATCTTATCCAGCTTTTCTTAGATACGCAGTGTGTTAACTTGGTGACCTTGATCTCAAATAATATCATTGGATTTTTAACTGCTTCGTTACAGTAATTGTCAGTATCCACAGGCTTATCAAAATATACAGTTGCCCACAGAATATACAGTCCATTCACTTTACAGTATATTCTGTGTTGCGCTTGGAAACTTCTTGAAGACGTGATAAGTCGCTATACCAAATGCAAGGATTATTTATTATCAGATGCAGTCAAACCAGCGTCACATACCAGGGTGATCAAAAATCAGTGTGTTTAATGTTTCAAAGATTCGCTTTGTTTCCTGTTTGATGTTAGATATTGTTGTTTCATCCAACCTCTTCCAGGACACCTTTAGTTTTTCTACTTCAGTGTTATTGTTGGAAATCCTGAAACAGTGGTCATGGAGAAAAAAGACATCAAACTAAAATTAAACTTGGCTAATCAACACCGCATCAATTGAAAGCTTTGACTTGAATCTGTACATTTGTCGCTGAGAACGGCAGTCTGGCAACTTTTAGAAACGTTTAAAATTTGTCTTATTTACGCAGGCGAAAAAAAAATCAATAACTTTGATGTGGATTACCTTTCATAAGTGGATTTGAAATCCTAAAAAAGAGAACAGAATGATATCTTAAATGTAGTTAGGACCCATGTAATAAATGTGTTCAACTTTCACGCTGCATGCCATAATGCATGTCTTTCACGTCGCAGGTAAAAATGCATTTGTCTTTCAAGTCAATAACAACAACAAGTTACATTTACTCGGCGCCTTTCATGTCAGGAGGACGTCCCAAGGCGCTGGACAGTCAGGGATCCACACCCGAGCTGGTGGTTGGGATCAGGAGGGGTGGAGGGCGGGGAGAGTTGGGATAGGAGGGTGACTGAACTCGAAGAGGAGAGTTGTGAGATGGGTCTTGAAGGAGGCAAGGGAGAGCGCGAGGAGGAGGGACTGCGGGATGGAGTTCCAGAGGGTGGCAGCAGAGTGGCTGAAGACCCGCTCGCCAATGGTGGGCCGGGCGAGGCGGGGGGACGTGAAGCAGGCCGGAGCCCGCTGAGCGGAGGGAGCGGGCAGGTTGGTAGTGGGTTAGGAGGTCACAGAGGTTAGTGGGGAGTAAGGCCATGGAGGGCTTTGAAGGTGAGGACCAGGATCTGGAACTGTATCCTCTGTGTGATGGGAAAGCCCAGTGAAGTCAGTGGATTGCTTGAAAATCCTTATGTATGGATGAGAACTATATCATATTGGTTATTAGTTACATTGATTATTATCAATTAGATGAGAATTAATTCATTGGATGAGCATTATCAGTGGTTACAGATTAACTTGGTATCACTGAGTTGCTGTGGTGTTTGTGTTTCCTTTACCTTAATAAAGAACAATGGATCTTTCTGATTTCTCAAATCCTGCACCTCCTGAATGAGGTGTGTGATCACTTCCCGCTTAATTTCCAATTCCTGAATCTTCTTCAACACCTTCGAAAGGTTCAGGTTTTTCTCTGAAATCACCGTGTCCAGGATTTGTTTCTCTTGTTTCGTCAGCAACATCCTAATTTCCTGAAACAGGTCTGAAATCTGCTTCCTCAAGGTCGCGCTGTCTTTCTGCAACGAGAGAAAAACTAGTCCAGAGAATTTCTCCCCCACAAATAAAAAACACATACACACAAATAGTCCAGCACCGACTGATCAATAAAGGAACGAATACATTTGCAGGTTTGTGGACACCTGATGACATGATATTAGAGGGAATTATGACTAATCGAACCCAACACAAAAAAATTCCATATTTTGTTACCGTAACATTTTTACCATGACCATAACAGGGTCGAATTCCCGGGCAGGGCAGAACGTCGGGCAAGTAAGTAGGAAACCGGGTATTTGTCGATTGGCGGATCGCTTTTCCGGGGGTAATAATCTCTTCAACAGAAAAAAATAATAATAAATTGGGTCACTCAACACATGATTGTTTGTGGGACGCTGCTGTGTGCAAATGGCTGCCGCATTTCGCCCACAAAATACACAGTCAATTAATTTTACAGTATATTCTGTGAAGCGCATTCAGATGTCTCGAAGATGTGATAAGCTGCTATATCAAATGCAAGGATTATTATTATTATTTAACACCCAGCCCTGCTCACTGTAAACATGGCGATCAGACATCCATCACACCAGGACTCGAACATATTTTTGTTGGGAATGAATGATTGAAAAAATCCGTTTGATTTTTGTTCAGCTCCATAAAGAGACGTCTCGGAGGTGGTGAAACAGTGGCATGTTAGATTTTCACGAATATTTGTCCATCAGAGGGGGAGGTGAGGCCAGAAACAAGGCAATGTATCCTTGCTTTATAATAATTAACAACAATAATTCTGCTGAATAACAATGAACTTTCCAGGTGCTTCAGCGAGACTAGATGCAACAGCTGTACAACAGCCGATACCTAGGGGCACACGAACACACTCAATTAGAAAGAAGCTGCTTATTAAATACCTTTAAGTTCATTTCAGTTCCTTGCAGTTCTTTCGTAGCTTCTTCCAAAGATGCCCTGGAGCTCTGCAGTTTGTCCAGCTTCTCAGAAAGGCTGGCCTGTCAAAATCAGGCCAATTATATGGGTTACTCCAATCCACCACTGTTTGGGGGGCACTGCTGTGTGCAATTGTCCGCCACGTTTCGCCCACAAAATACACAGTCAACCCACTTTACACTATATTCCGTGAAGTGCTTTGCGAAGTCTCAATGACGTGATAAGGCAAGGCTTATTATTATTATTATTAATATTATTAGTGTTAGTATTATTTTCCCAGAGGCTTCGGCAGCACATTAAAACAAACCACTTTGGAAATGACCAAACTGATGTGAACGCGCCCACAAAAAAATGCAACCTTTTACACTGTATCGTGTTAGGCGCTTTGAGACGTCTTGACGACGTGCTAAGACTCTATACCAAACACAGGGATCATCATGGCTATTGTAACCAATGCAGTGAATATCAACACATTAAAAAATGCTGTGTTCCAACCTTGGTCTCGTTGTGTATATCCTTCAAAATCCGTATGTCGTGGTTCTTGTGAGGCCCAGCCACATAGCACGTCACACAGATGCAGGAGTGATCGTCCAAACAGTAATACTCGATTAATTTCTCGTGATCCGAGCACTTTCGGTCTTCCAATGAGCTGGCGGGTTCGATCAGTACGTGGTTCTTCTGTGCAGCTTTTTCAGAGTGTTTCCTGAAGTGATGCTCGCACAAGGAGGCTTCGCAGTTCATACAAGTTTTCACTGCCGGGAAAGGATCATCCAGGCAGAAATCACACAGGATCTTAATGGGCTCTTCGTTCATTTGTGTGGCTTCAAACCGTTCGATGATGTTGCAGAGCTTGAGGTTTTTCTGCAGGACGGGCTTTTGATTGTACTCGGCCCGACACTCTGGACACGAGTAAACCTGAACCGTGTCTCTTTTGTCCCAGTTTTTTTCGATGCACTTACGACAGAAATTGTGGCCGCAGGTTAGCGAGACAGGTTCGGTGTAGATATTCCAACAAATTGAACAGTTTAACTCTTCTTTCAAATTACCAACAGCTGAAGTCGAAGCCATTTTCCACCTCTGACGATCAGGATATGTTGCTGAAAGGAAGAGATTGAAGGACAATAAATTCACAGCTCGGGAGATCTTTTCAGCAGCCTGCTCCACGTCCCCTGCCTGGCCAGGGCCACCATCGGCGGTCGGGCCTTCAGTCTCTCTGCTCCCACCCTTTGCCTTGCTCCCTGCCTTGCCTCCTACAAGTCACGTCTCAAGACCTTCCTCTTCGACCGCGCCTTCGGTCACCCTCCTATCCCGACCCTCCCTGCCCTCCACCCTCCCTGATCCCAACCCCCAGCTCGGGCCCAAATCCCTGACTGTCCAGCGCCTTGGGATGTCCTCCCGACGTGAAAGGCTCCGTGTAAATATAATTTTGTATTTTATTGTAATTAGCATCATACTCATCTTCATCATCAAAATGACTGAAATGCTGAGGAGAAACATTCTTGCTGGTGTATTATTAGCGTTACTTGTCTCAATCTATTATATACAAAATATATACCCAAGTTTTGCCCACAAAATACAGTCAATCCACTTTATAACATATTCTATGAAGCACTTTCAGATGTCTCAACGACGCGAGATAAGGCGCTATATATCAAATGCAAGGATTATTAATACGTAATGAAAGATTGCTCTTTTATCTCTTCCTTAATAAGGAAGTTTTTTTTATCATGGATTGCTAAATAACGTTTACTTTGATACTCAGAGACCGTCCTGTCAACTGTGATTTAAAATCCCCTCAAAACCATTTACATTCACATTTCACGTTGAAGAATCTACTTACATCTATGTAATCATTGCCTCTCACTATTGGGAGGACTTGGAATAAATCATGTTACCCTTTCATTGTCTGATCTCCAACTAAACTCAGTTCACGTCTGTACCCCTAAACCAAGATGTGAGCCTTTGGAGTAATTCCCGTAAGATGTGTGTAAAAAAAAATAGACAATTGTGAACAATCTTTTCTTTCTGAAAAAAACATACAAGAAATAAAAAAATTTAACATAGTCCTCTGAATCCCCAATACTTTAACACTGAGACTGTTGGAAAAAAAATCTTCACTTGTCAGCACGGGAATGCAGCAGAATATGTTTTACGAGCTGTTGTCATCCATTATCAGCAGCTTGTTATCTATCGACTAGTTCAGGTAGTAATCCATAAACAGCTCATTCCACTGAGTGCCAGATCAACTCCATCTTATGTCAGGTCCAATCACACAGCCTGATGACTCAGTCTAGTAACAGTGCTAGAAGCATTAGAAGCGAACACAAGGCCAATAAAGTTTCAATAGTAGTTTGGTGTCAGCAAATTTTACAAATGGGCAAAGTTCAGAATTGACTTTGACTTTATCTCACCAACATTAATTACCGGGATGATTATTAGAACATAAGAATTTGCGAGGCAATAGAAGACCAAGGTCATCTAGTTTACCTTCCACAATCCTGGCAGTTGCTTGACATGTCATTTGCCGTGTCCCCCGCTATATACTGTCTCCCGAGATATTATTTTCTAGCAGAAATCTATCTCATTTGTTCTTGAAACAAACAACATTTTTTGCTTCCACCGTCTGTCTCCCTCGGGAGCTTGTTCCACAAGTTTACCACTCGCTCACTGAAATAGTATTTCCACAGATTTGTTCTGAATTCCCCCCCCCCCCCCTTCAATCACAGGCCGTGTGCTCTGGTTCTACTGTTCAATACAAGATAAAGCAGCTTATCAAGGTCTACATTATCTATTCCCTTCAGAATCTTAAAGCCTGTAATTATATCACCCTTTGACCTTCTCTTCTCCAGTGTGAACATGCCCAGTTTATCTTTTCACTCCTCCCAGTCCAATCCCTCCATACCCTCAATCATTTTGGTTTCCCTCTGCATCCTCTCAATTGCTGCAATATCCTTTTCATATTGCGATGACACAGTATTCCAAGTGCAGTCGCAGCAGTGATTTATAAAGCGGCGGAATTACCCCACTATTTTATTATCAGCATCCCCTAGGTCCTTTACATTTTCCGTACGGATTATTTTCTTACCATTTAAATAATAGTCCCTTCCTGGATTTTTTGTCCCATGTGAAGCACTTTGCACTTCTCTACATTCAATTTCATTTGCCATTGATCTGCCCAATTCCCAGGAATGTCGAAGTCATCCTGTAACCTATCCTGTTCATCTTTGAAGTCTACCACCTTCATTAGCTTTGTCTCATCTGCAAATGTCTCCGCTGCGTTTGTGACTCTGAGCTCCAGGAAGATGTTAAATAAAAGAGATCCCATAACAGACCCCACCACCCCCTGTGGAACTCCACTGGTAACATTCTCCCAGCCTGATGACATTCCTTGTACCACCACCTTCTCGGTTCTATCGGTCAGCCAATCATGTATCCATTGCAAGATACTTCCTCTGATTCCTGCTTTCTTTATTTTCGGTACCAGCCTTTCATGAGGAACCGTATCAAAGGCCTTACTGAAATCCAGATATACAACATCCACTGCCTTACCCTTATCAAGCTCCTTTGTCACACAGTCAAAGAAAACCAGTAAATTGGTTTGGCAGGATCTCCCCTTCGGTAACCCATATTGGCTATCTTTTATCATTTTTATTATTGTCCAGATGCTCCGTGATCTTATTTCTAATAAGAGTCTCCATAACTTTACCCACAATGGATGTCAAGCTCACTGGTCTGTAGTTTCCTGGGTCACTTCTGTTGCCTTGTTTAAAAATAGGAGTAACACTTTGAACAATTATTGCTTTGAGCATTAATTTATTTCTCCTCTCAGCTTCCGGTGTGCTCTCTGCCCTACGTTGAATTCTTTGCTCAGCACACACTGAGGGTTGGAAAAGTGACAATGCCTTTGTCACTTTGTTACCTATCCCACCTGCTTAATACCTATCCTACCTGCTTACCCCCCAACTCCACCAGCTGCTGCCTCTGCTCAGCCGGCTCCAGCCTCCTATTTGTCCCTCGCCCCCTCCATTCCACCATCGGTGGCCGTGTCTTCAGCCACTACGCCCCGAAACTCTGGAACTCCCTCCCTCAATCGCTCTGCCTCGCCCCCTCCCTTCCCACCTTCAAATCCCACCTAAAGACCTTCCTTTTTGATCGCGCTTACAGTCACCTCCCCCCTCTTCTTCTCCCCTTGGCTCGTTATCAGGCTCCGCAACTGTGAAGTGCTCCTGGACACTACCCTGTGTGAAGGGCGCTATATAAATGGAAGTTGCTGTTGTCTTTGTTGTTGCCTCCTCACACTGAATACACAGGGCTGGCTATCAGAGAGCTTCAGTGAACAACTAGCACTTGCAGAGCTAAACCCACATTGGACAGTCCAACACCACCATATGGCACACGGCAGGTCTTTCGCAGTACAGCATATTGCTTCTCACCATATTCAGGCTTTAAGTGCCGTAACCCCACATTTGGAAGGGATTAAGGGTCGGAATAAGACAGGATGAGTATCGGATATCTTGCTCAGCGATCTAACCTCCTCTCCTGATGAGCGCAACATGATTCGTTTCGCCCACAAAACACACAGTCACTCCACTTTACAGGATATCTTGTGAAGCGCTTTGAAACTGAGTATCAATGACGCGATAAGGCGCTACATCGAATTTAAGGATTATTATTATTAGCAATTATTATGATGATGATTATTATGATTAATTATTATTATTATAGCATTCAGAAAGATAGTAAGGAAACTAGACAGCATGCTCATAGTTAAGATATTTAGACTGAGACGAGCTCACCAGACTGCTGTTAACGTTAGGCAATGCCCACATATCATTGATGCCTCACACTCAGGAGCAATTTAATTTATCGCTCAAGCCATTTAGCTATGTCATAAAGTGATGTTTGTGGTAGTGGTGGTGATATCATAAGGTCGGATGATGCTGTGACATGAGGTGATGTAAGTCATGCAGGTACCTGTGATTGACTTACTATCGCATCGTGCCCTGAAATCATTGCAGTCTGAATACCAGGGAATAACTAAGGCAAAGTCACTTCTCGCAGGTTTCTCTTTTCACCAAAAGAACAGGAATACATTATGCCATCACACAGAGCATCAGCACCAAACCAATGACATCACTGCTCCAGGCTCTCGCTATTCTCCCACCAAACACACAGTCAATTCACTTTACAATATACTCTGTGAAGCGCTTTGAGATGTCTCAACGACGTGATAAGGCGCTATATCAAATGCAGGAATTACTATTAGTATAATAACACTTACATTACAGCGCCGTCTGTCAGTAAAGAAGCTATCCCAATCGATCTGGGAATTCCTTTGCAGTGGCTTGTGCTGCAACGCCAGAATATAAATCACATGTTTATATTATAAATGCTCGTGACTAGGAATAGAGCTATAATCACACCCAAATTCAAATGGGTTTGCTCTGTGTGGAATGTCGTTAGTGCAAATTGCCTGCCAGGTTTGTCTGTAGAACATTTATTTTCACTTTTAATCAACTGTATATTGCAAAGAGCTTCGAGACATTAATTAAATGTGAAAAGTGTACAAGTTATTATTATTAATAATTGAAATATGACGGAATTATTTACAAGGCACGAAAGAAGGAAGGAATAGCTCTAAAGGGAGCTTGTTTGGTCCTAGATTAAAACTGATGATATAAAGTTGACACAATCCAGTGAGAATACTGGCTGTCACTGGAATACTCTTCACGTGAACACAAACATACGTGGATAAAATTACAGGCACCGGCTCAGCACATCGCTTTGAGACGTCTCAAGGACATTAAGATACATCAAATATGTGGATTATTATTATTTATTGTCGCAACAATTGTTTTTCTTTTTAAGGTAAGCGAATCCTCTGCAAATGCAGACCTGATTGGCCAGATATTAATTATAATGTTAACAATAATACATTTACCTGGTAAGTGGAGTCCTGTAGCTCAGTGGTTAGAGCACTGGTCTCACAAGCGAGAGGACCTGGATTGGATTCCCGGGCAGGACGAAACATTGGGGAAGTTTCCTTACTTCACAGACCTCTGTTTACCTAGCAATAAGTAGGAACCCGGTTGTTAGTCGACTGTTGGATCGCTCTTCCGGGGGTAATAATTCCTTCAAAATAAATAAATAATAATAATTTGGTCACTCAATCCACCACTGTTTGAGGGACGCTGCTGTGTGCAATTGGCTGCCGCATTTTGCCCACAAAATACACCGTCAATTCACTTTACAGTGTATTCCGTGAAGCGCTTTGAACGCCTCGAAGACGTGATAAGGCGCTGTATCAAATGCAAGGATTATATTATTATTACTTTCCAAAACCAGTGCCATCGGGGCACTGAGCTGGGTGCACCGAGAGGGATACCCACTGGAGGGCAGTCATGCGCCATCTGCCAAAATGTAATCCAAACTCTGTTTACCTGGCGGAGATTGTTCAAATGACAGTCACTTCAAAGCACTTTTCTGTGCTGCACTTTGAAAGAAACAAAGTCTAATTTACCGTAGCAATCACTTGAAGCCTTGAGGAATTAAGGCAAAAAAATATCTGGGCTTTAGATCTCACTGATAGTGCTGGTCCCTGATTAGAATGTGTTCGATGCAATATTGTTATCAGGGGATTAGAAACTTCTGATTTCGAGCAGCAAATTTTCAGAGGATTTGCGAGCTGCAGAGAGAGAGAGAGAGAGAGAGAGAGAAAAGTAACTAGGATTCTTTTCTTAAGCGAAACAAAAGTGATAGCACAAGGGATTTAAAGCTGTTAGGAAAGGAGATAACATGGAAGTTATAATGATAATAATCCTTGCACTTTATACAGCGCCTTATCACATCGATAAAACGTCTCAAAGCGCTTCACAGAATTTTTATTTTCGGCGAGCGAACTGCCTGTGTATTTTGTGGGCGAAACGTTGGTAAATTCTTTGAATTAAGTAGTCGGACAAAGATTGACTACCTTCAAAAGTCAGAAACTACAACAACAGTAACTTCAACAACAACTTGTATTTATATGGCACTCCTCGTGCAGGGAAGCGTAAAAGCATTTCAGCAGAAGTTTTCTCCTGTTACGACCTGTGGTATACACTGTTAGGTGTGATGGGGGGGTGGGGGGGGGGGGAATAATAAGTGGCTTTGCAAAGAGAATAAAGTGAAAAACGAGGCAAGATGTTGATTGATGGAGAGAGTGTTTCAAGGACAAAAGCCACCTGCAGTAGTGTGCCAAGAGCTGGAGTGGGTGTGCAACAGGCTGAGTAGCCTTTACACACTCACGGATCGTTCACTCTTGTCAAGAGAGAGGATGACTGCGATCAGTGCACTCGGATCTATGCAGTCTGTGATCTGAATCTAACAAACCCAAACCGGGCTCCATAAAACGCACCTTTTATCCCCGCAGTTTGATTTCTCTCTCTCTCTCTCTCTTTCTCGCTAACTCTGTTGCAGTCACACGGTTAATATTGATGGATGTACAGTACTGTCGGGGACAAGGTTGGGAGGTACAAAGGAGGTGGAGTTGTCTTCAAAATTATGAGGAAGTGGTTCTGATACCGGGGAATGTAATTTATGGGAACCTTGCCGCTCGGGCAGTTTGTCTATTTTCATTTAATGTCCTGGAATATCTCAGGGTGATTGATCTCTTTCTAAGGAGCTGTGTGTGTTACCCAGGTATCTCTGCACCTTGCGTGGGCTGGTCTGATAACAGCAACAACAACCACCACCTAGAATCAGTCAATCAATCACTGATAATCCAGGAGCAATTAGGTATTAGAGATGATCTGAGACCTACAACTCCTGAACTTGTGATAAAAACAGAAGTCGCTGGAGAACACTCAGCAGGTCAGGCAGCATCTACGGAGAGAGGAAACTTTCCATTAGAAACATCTATGGAGAGAGGAAACTTTCCTTTCTCCATAGATGCTGCCTGATCTGCTGAGTGTTCCCAGCAACTTCTGTTTTTATTTCAATTTCCAGCGTCTGCAGTATTTTAACTCCTGAACTTGTGTTGTGTTCATGTCGAATATTAAGGAAGTGGTTGAAACCAGAGAAAAATGCTTAAACATCATTAAACGGTTAACATTGTGAGCAAACATTCAGGCTAAAGCAGAGTAACCTGATCCAAAACCGGATCCAAATCCCTGACTGTCCAGCACCTTGGGATGTCCTCCCAATATGAAAGGCGCTGTACAAATGTAATGTTGTATTGTCATACCAGGAATTCAGAGTGTTTGTATGTTTGGGTGTGTTTGTATGGGGGTGGTGTATGTGTGTGGGTGTGTGTGTGTGTCAGTGGTGTTTGTCTGTGTGTGTGTGTGTGTGTGTGAGTGGTGAATGTGTGTGTGTGTGTGTGAGTGGTGTGTGTGTATGTGTGTGTGTGTGGTGTGTGTGTGTGTGTGAGTGGTGTGTGTGTATGTGTGTGTGTGTGTGGGAAAGTTGATGGGGCGATAAAGCTTTTGAGGAAGTGACAGCTCTCAGTGTGTACAGTATAACAGGTGCCTCACACTCTCCACGGTAACTCATTGGTTCTCAGGAATTTTCAGAGCCAAGAAGCTCCGGTCAGTAACAGCATCTGAGCTTCGAGTTTCACTTCTGCTTTGATCTCACTCTGGCCAGTGAAGGGGCATCCCCACCCCACACACTGCCACACACACACACACACACACACCACATACACAAATCTCCCCCCCACCCCACACACTCACAGCACATCCAAACACACAAATCTCCTCCCACACAAACACACAACACCCCACCCCCACACGCGTGCACACACACACACAAATCTCCCCCACACATGCACACCCACACACATACAACCCCCCCACCCCTCCGCCCACACACCCACTCAACCCTGGCTCCCAGCAGCCATCTATCAGTGGTCAGTGATCCACCATCAAGACCAGCATTAACTACAGCCAATCCCACAGCGTTTCAGGCTTCTTTCCCAAAGCGATTAAGGCAGGAACTGCCTGTATGGTTAAGTAGATGCTCACGAAGACCCTGATGCCACAATCACAGAGGCTCTCATTCTGGCTCCAGGGTTCAGCGAGGCCCCACTCACCTGCGCTCTTCCTGGCACCATCCGTCAGGCCAGGTAGGTCCCAGGCATCACTGAGGGCTCGGTTTACTGACACACTTCCTGAATCCTGAGATAACTTCCAGGGAGATGCTGTGCTGCACATTGTGTAATCCCAGCCTCTGTCTGCAGGCCTGATCCTGCCCTTCATCACGCAGTGTATTAAAGCTCCGTGCGAGGAGTACCAGCGAGAGGACTCGCTCTCTGGGCTCTTTCCTGATTTCAGCAAGTGCTGGGGCCATGGACACAAGAACATAAGAATTTGCTGAGTGAAGGAAGACCAAGGACCATCCAGTTCGCCTTCTACCCATTCTGGCAATCACTTGACATGTCGTGTCCCAAATTATGTACTGCATCCCCATAAGAATGTCCCATAAAACATAGTCACGCAGAAGGTCTCCCTCTGGCTTAAACCTGGTGTTGACAGATTCCACAGGTCATTTTTTTTTTGCCTGCTTCCCTTTCATCCCGCGCCTTCAGCCACTGCGCCCTTAAACTCTGGAACTCTCTCCCTCATTCCCTCCGCCTTGCCCCTTCCCTCCCTCCCTCACTCCCTCCCTCCCCACTTTTAAATCCCGTTCTAGAGTTTTGTCTCTTCTGCCTGTAGAGAGGAGAGGGAACGTAAAATGCTAACGTACTTCCAACCTACAACACGTCACCTGCTCCTTCCCCGCAGTGAACGGCACGAACGATTTCATTGATATCTCACTGCTCCACTCAATCGCTTTGTTATTCTTACTGTGTCACAGGGAAAGCAGAGATTATCGCGAGCCCAGCAGAGTGGTTTCAGATACAAATTAAAATGAAGTGCTCTGGTGGAGATCACCCTGAACTGACCTCCACAGTCCTCTGGCTCTTAGAATACATGAACATTTTAATTGAAGCCTAAATGAGTTCTGTGACTGATTTCCTCCTCGTGTTCTGCTTTCATCAGTCAAAGAATCCCTGGAAGATGAATAATATTACCCACTGCATCTGTTTCAGAAGCGAATAAAAGATCCACATTATATTTGTTAATGAACTAATTATAGCTAAATTCCATTACTTCAGCGGCCTCCATCCCACACGGCTCCTGTTGGGTGTTGTGAATGAACCTGTGGCGTTGTGAATGCAGCAATGGCTGTGCTGTAATACACACTGCAGCTGACATACCATTTCCCCGATCAGATTGTAGCTCGTAACATCACAGAGCTCTTGTTAAGACAAGAATACCGGCCAGCTTCGTGTCTCTTGCTCTGTTCGCCCCACCTTCACAGCGGAGTTTACAGCCAATCTGCCCCCTCTCTGTCCAATGCCATCCCACACCTCCAACCTCTCCTCATCTCCCCTCCCCAGTCTCAAACGCCACCTCAACATTTATCTGTGTCCATGTTCTCTGTCACCCTCTGCCTCCCCTCCCTCCTCAGCTCCTCCCCCCAACCAGCCCAGCTTGGCAGTGAAAAGCACTTTAGGTCGTCCTCGAGACGTGAAAGCCGCTGTAAATGCCAATAATAAATTGTATTGTGTGAGGCATGTGTGTGAACAACGCCCACTTGGACCATTTGCTATAACTTGAGTCGGCACAAAAAGAAATCGATTCCTTTGCATTGTTTTATTGCTTTTTTTTATTCAGTGGCAAATCATTGAAATATTGAAAAATAAAATACAATAGTTAAAAGAATGTGATTACATTCCGCCATTTTATTAATGTAAACAAGTGCACTGAAGGGAGTTTCAGAAGTCTCAACATATTTACAAGACATTAAAATATAATGTTTAATACAATTTGTGATTTGGATTACTTCTCTAGGAAACTATAAGATATGATTTAAAAAATACATAATATGTATTTGCTTTGAAGCCAGAGACGTTTTAATCACACTTACAGCTGTAGTGGAAAGGTACAAGGTTCCAAAGTTTCATCGTTTAAACAAACATGATTAAAGTAATTACCCCCCAAAAGGGAGATTGCATTTGATTTGCTTGAAAGGGGATAAAAAGTTCGGATTCCAAATCAACAAATAAATGAGGGGGAGAGGCGGTGGGGGGGGGGGGGGGGGGAGAGGGAGAAGTGAGGGGGGAAGGGGGAGGAGAGTGAAGGAATTGGAGAGTGGGGGGGCGGGAGGGAAGAGGAGGCCAGAGGGAGGAAGGGGCTAAAAATTTTTTTTGAAAGAGCGAAATGATCAAACAGCTTATCTGAACTCCCCATACCTTCCCACTCACACAGTTTGAACACAAAACTCTCACACATATGCCCCCGAAATGATAAGAAAACACAATTCCTTTGTCTTTGCCACCTGAAGGGCATTCGAAGCCCGAAAGCTGCTTTAACGCCTCCCCACCAACCCTTTCTCTCTCTCTCTCTTAGGCAGTATATGATTCAGCTGAATTTGCTTTAATCAGACAAGACACCTATGTCGTTCTGATGACTCCATCGATTAATGAATGGAATTATCACCCATGCACCCGGTAATAAATTGCTCTCGATATGCACCTATCCAATGAGTTACAGTACAGCTCTGTCAATCTAGATATGTTAGTTCACTATAATAATAATAGTAAGCTCTATAATAATTACATGTAAACATTTCTGGTTAGGAAATTTTGAGGACTGAGAGGCAAGGCTACAGATACAGTGCATAGTTTAGACAACGGAAGCACACAATAAATTACAACAAAAAAATAAAAAAAGTTTCAACACGTGTAAACTATTACAACGGAAAATGCAGCACGTGAAAGCACGTCAAAAAGACCCGCGAGATTACCCCCCCGATTCCTCTTACCCTAACACTGTCCCCCAAACTACACACATCAAATTTGCCATCACAACTGCAGCTCCACTATTGCTTTACGTATACTTATGGGAACGATAATCAGCAAAAATGGACAGCGGTTTTACTAAACCCGTCTGCACGTCTGACATCTGACATCTATCTACCCCAAAGAACCACAGACAGAAGCAGCTTTTAGTTCATGTAAACTTCATTTTTTTTTTGTTTCGCTTGTAAAAGGACTAGTGTCCTGTTTTTCTACCGGACAGAGGTAAACAAAGGAAAAGTGCCTTGATTGAGGTATTGTGGTATCCTCTGTAGGCGGTGGATGTAAGTAAGGCTGTTACCTTGTCAAGCTTCTCTGTGCCTCTTTCAGCAAGCTGTCGAAATCCATCGTGTCGTATTTGCTTTTAACGGGAGCGGGTTCCAAATCCTCCGCACTGCAATCTGCAATAGATCGAGAGGTCTCTGGTCATAAGGTCCTTGTAGATGACAAGAGCGAGCGACGCAGGAGAATGTGAACTAACTGAAGATTCTGGATGAAACCACCTCATTTCAGGTGTGCAAAACGGTCCTCATTCTACATTACCCAACACAATATTCCTGACACTGACACAGCGCTGGTCAATCTTTTATTTACATAATATTAATGACATCTACAACAACAGCTCACATATATATATATAGATATATAGCACCTTTACGTGGGGCAGTGTTTCAGAAATATATGCTAAATGATCTTCAAGGTAGACAATTAAATTCCATAATTTCAATCAAGGATTACTTGGTACAAGTCTCTACAACAGATTCAAATGGCTTTTTGGTTTTAACCTTAGGCTAAAAGTTAAGAGATGACTTTGCTGGCTATCTGTTCATTATACTAAGCGCCATCCATTAAATGGTCAACTCGGCTCTTACCCTAAGAGTCCATGTTTGTTAGTTTCTGCCTCTTCTCTCTCCAGGGCCACAGCTACAGCTCAGACAAGTGTCTCACTCAGACAGCTCCTTAATTTACCCCAAACACCGATCAAACCTGCCTTTCTGTGAACTCCCCGCTTCTAGGCAATCTTACTGCTTAACTACACGACATGCTGCTGTTACAGTCATGCCCTTTGGTCACTCAATCCACGACTGTTCGTGGGACACTTGGCTGCCACCAAATACACATATATTCCGTGAAGCACTCTTGAGATATCGATGTAATAAGGTGTTATGTCAAATGCAAGGATTTAATATTTATTTATTTATTTATTATTTATGCCTTTCCACTAGCAATGCCAAGCCACTTGTCGTGTGGAAAATTATACTGTTGGACACTGTGGGATACTGGATCCCATGGCCATGGGATACCAGGAGGGATCGTGAGCTAAACAATTAGCCAAAGGATTATTGGTGTGCTGGTGTCCCCAGGGAATGTCGAGATCAGCCTGCCTTGTTCTACATCTTCTGCAGTTGTAAGCCTAAAACTTGTAACTGTTTAATAACCGTTTTGCTGATTAATAAATTAATCTATCGATTTATCCTCTGTCTACTGTCTTACCTCAGGGTCAACCACATTACTAAAACCCTTCAAGTGAAGACAGAAAAGCATCCCTTCCCTGTTCCTCCTCCACCCCTCCCCCAAATAAAATCAGGAGAGCAAATGGACACTCGCTTACCCAGGTTAGTGTAACTGGCTTTGCAGAAGCGCCTGAGAGCTCCATAGTATAGCTGTAGGGCAGGATCGTTCTGCTTCTGCAAATCGTGCCCATTCTCCAGGGCCAAGGAGGCATCGTGACTGTAACGATAGGTGACCAATCCATACTGGTCACTGCGTCCAACACACAGAAACGTTAACGTGGCTTCCATATGGGGCACAGACTCGCCTTCACATACACATAGCCCGTCTCGTCACACAGTGTGTAAATAGCCCAGCTCTATGTATCCTTACCCTTTACATCTCTGATACCCTTATCTTTCACCCTTCACGTACACTTTGCACGACTCGCCACAACACAAGTTGTATAAAAGGTGCAGCAACGTCTATATAACCTTACCCTTTCTCACAGGCAAGAACTTTGCATTCCTCAATTTCCCCAAAGGCTTCAAAGCGCCGCATCACCTCTGAGCGGGTCATCCCACACGTTAGCTTCCCCACGTAGACTATACGGTGTTCATCCTGAACAAACACATTAGAACAATTTGCACTTGGAAACAGCGTAGGGAGGACATGTCAAAGCTCTTTACAGAGAGCAAGTGGGGGGAGTTGAGGGGGTGGAGAGGAGAGGATAGTTGTCTGAAGGGCAGTGACTGGCAGCAAAGCAGAGAGCAGACGGGTGTGAGTTGCCTGCCAACGTGCTGTGAGGTGCCGGACGATGCCTCAATCTCTTGCTTCTTGGCATTGTATTATTCTAAATAAAAACTCTGCCTGCACAACCCTCGCTCCAACTCCCCTCCGCTCCCCACCCCCAACACCTTGGCTCAGTAAATATTTCCCTGGCTCTAATGACTCTGACTCACACCCCCCCAGTGGGTAAGAACAGTAACTGAAGCAGGTTTGTGTTGTGGATTGATTCCGCTGAGAAGCAGCCAAATCACACACTGTGTTTCCCTCTCAAACACAAGCCGGTGGAATTACAATGACTTTTTATTCAGTCAGATCCACTGAGAGGGACGCTGGGCCTGTGTTCGACTGTAAAAATGCACAATTCAGCTGCGACTCCGTGTGATAAAAGGTTCCTAAAAAGATCTGAAAGCAGTTATCGGAATAACGCCATATAATATTTATATCTGACCGACATACACCAAAGTCTCAGTTTACAACCGTCACTTGAATTTGTAGTAAGATTAGATCTCGGTCTGTAAATCAGTCCCTGCTTTTGTTTTATGACTTTTACACAGGGAGTGTGGGGAGGTACATTGTATATTTTTTCCTTGTCGGGGGCTGTGGAGGACAGAGAGACGGGCATGGGCAGGAGAGTAGTGTTGTACACAGTGACAGTGGCTGGGACAGTGACAGTGGCTCTCTCTCTCACACACACGGACACACACAAGATCAGAGAAGAGAATTATCGTGATTAAATCACCGCTGCTCGGCCAGGGTTGAGTTCTGTGGAATTCTGTATCCCGTATCTATTGCGACACGTGAGAGCAAAAACGCACTGTAATGCTGACAGTAAAAGGAGATATCTGGCATCTCGTCTTACTGTCTGAAGTCCAGCACTAAAATACCTGCTCTGTGGCAAACACAGGGAAACAAGTCAAATAATGCTTTGTCAAACAGAGACACAAACGAGCAACACAAAGAGTAACAATAGCTGAACTGCCTGCGTTTGCTAACAGAAGAATTTGCTAGACAAAAGAAGAGCAAGGTCCATCCAGTTCGCCTTCCACCATCCTGGTAGGCACTTGCATATGTCGTGTCCCAAACTATATACTGTATATCCCACAATATTATTCCCTAAAAGAAATCTATCTAATTTGCTTTTTGAAAGAATCGACACTTTCTGCTTCCACCCGAGGGAACCTGTTCCATAAATTTATGACTAAGTACTTCATCAACTAAATAAAAAGGTGCCCGAGATGTAAATCAATGTCGCGAATAATTACTGTTACTGTTAATTACTGCATGGGCTCCAACAACAACAAACAACAACAACTTGCACTTATATATAGATCAATCCTGAAGCTTGTCGGTGGAGCTGGGGATCTTGGTTACTAGTAAGGTGTTGGAGGCTGAGGGTTACATAGAGACACGTCAGAAAATATCCCAATGAAACACATTGAAACCTTGTGATCCCAATACAACAACAACAACTTGCACCTATATAGCACTCTCCACTCAGGGCAGCATCTCAGAGCGCTTAACAGTGTAGTAGAGCCTGACTCCGAGCCGGGGAGGACAGGGGAGGTGGCCGTAAGCACGTCGAAGAGGAAGGTTTTCAGACGGGATTTGAAAAAGGGGAGAGAGGGGGGCAAGACGGAGGGATTGAGGGAGAGTTTCCAGAGTTTCGGGACGTAGTGACTGAAAGTGGCTGAAATACACGTTCGAATCTGGCTGAGATTTCAACTTCAATATACACAAGTTTTACACGCTCAAGTTGGCCCTCTATTCCACAGATTATCAGAGCTAATGGCAAGGGGGGTGTTGGGTGTCTGACACGCAGAAACCCATCCCATGCTTAAGAGTTTCCACATGGATGCCACATACCCATGGAAATTTCCCTGTGTGTGAATGGAATGCACACTCCCTTCTCTCGCTACCCCCCACCCATGCCGGTCGCTACTGATTAGTGTTTTATTGGAATCGAACCAGCGAAATGGGAGACGGATTCCAAAGCACAGCATGTGGTGCTGAGCTGTGTGTGTTGCTGTTAAAGGCAGAGAGACAGGTCACCATTCCGGTTGTACTCACTATGGCTAGATTCCGCTTGTCCCTTTGGTTTGTTTTCTCAAAGAATTCACCTTCCTCCAAATTCTGTCCTTCCAATAAATATCTGTCACCATCGTCGTCTCTATGGGATTTTCACACGCAAAAAAATAGTTACAACTTCCAATTAACAAGCGGTTCTCCCGGATGGTCTGGACAATAATTACCACGAAAAATGGCGACCGAGTTACTGGGGGCAAAGGTTACCGAGTTACTGAGACTAATGGTTAGTGAGGCTTGTGAATGGTGATGGACTGTGAATGCCTTTCACGTCAGGAGGAGGAACCTCGCATACGGGCCACGGAATAATAATAATAATGTTTGCCTTCCCCAAGAGCAGACTCCGCAGAAAGCTCCAGGTCACAGTCTGGGCTCCAGTTCCTACCTGACAGATTCTGGCCGTTCTGGGGATCTGGACTGTGGTGATCCACTGCTGTGGCTACGCTGAGGGCTGGGTGCTGACCTGCCTGACAGGATGCCGTCAGCAGGAAGCGTGGTCCTGAGCTGCGGCTGGGGGTCGGGATGTGAGGAGCCGGAGGGTGGAGGAGGCTGAGACTCAGGGATAGCACCAGGCTTCTTCACCCTCTCCCCCTGCCTCTGATCTGAGCAACGGTAATGCGAGTCAGAGTCTCGCTCATTGTCCTCGAGCATATGCTGCTTCTCTTCCTCGGGGAGGGCCTGTTCTGGGTAACCAAAGTGTTGGTACAACTTGGCCCGAATCTCTTGGTCTTTCATTGTCTTTTTATTGCTGCTCTGGCCCAAAAGGGTTTTGTTCTGCTCCAGTTGCTCAGTGTTAGGTCCGTGACCGTGAGCAGGAGAGAGTTTCTGCCTCTTTTCGCCATAGGGATCACATTTGGCCTTGAGGCTGTGCTGACCGCTGTGTCTGGGCAGCTCCCAGAGTCTCAGGACCTTCCTGTCGGGCTCAGGCTCAGAGCTGTACAGTTGGCAGTAGTCGTGGTCGCCAAAGCACCTGGAGTACGCCCGTTTCCCCTTCCTGCCGTCGCCCTGGGCGGGCACCACCGCGGCTTTGCTCAGGTAAGCATAGAGCTCAGTGTCCTCCAGCTGCTTCTTCACCAGACGCTTTGGCGACAAGGATCGGTTCACCTCGTGCCCGCCGCCCGGGGCGATCTTCAGCGCTGACTTGAAGGGATCGTCTCTGGCGGTCTTGTGGGGAGGAGTGGTGGGGGGTGTGAGACCTTGTGATACAAAAGACACAGAGCCAGGGTCAGAGGACAGTCACAGGCACGGGGCGGGGGTGGGGGTGGGGGCGGGGGGGGAGGTTTCCAGACAAAATAATTTTCAACATTATTAAAAAATAGTCAAACGTTCTCTCTCTCCTTCTCCCTCCCAACACCCTCTACATCGTACAAATATAACGGATTCATGTAGGTGTGTAATACAGCAGGGATCGGAGTTACAACAACAACATCTTACATTTATATAGCGCCTTTCACGTCAGAAGCACGTCCCAAGGTGCTGGACAGTGAAGGGTTTGCACCCGAGCTGGAGGTTGGAGTCAAGAGGGGAGGAAGGTAAGGGGGCGGTGGGGAAGGGGAGTAATGGAAGACAAGACTGGAGCCCGCCCCCCATCCCCGCTTTCCCTCGGGAAGGTGTGGAGCAGCACAGAACCTCTAATAAAAATGTAACAGGAACTTTAATTTAATGTGCAAAGCATTTTTTGTGCCTTTTTTTTGCAGAAAAAAAATCCAATTTTTTCGAGGGGGATTGGAAATGGCTGGAGCAACTGAGCCTCGCTGATGTGAAAGCAGGTTTTAAAATCCATTTACGTTCGCTTATTAATATTTATCTGACAGCACAAAGCGTCATCAAATAGAATAAGTTACAGCCTTGAGGCAATGTGTCCCAGCGCCCACGCACTTGTACAAAGCCAGCTCCTGCCTGCGCGTGTACTGATAACTAATAACACAGCCTGTGCCAACGGCTGCTCACAGCACCAACCAGCACGTAACAGGCTCCGTGAGAGCACAGCAGCCAGTGCAAAACAGCAAACCGCTCTCATATCTACACCTGCTTTTCCAGCAAACAGCAGCAACTTGCACTTATATAATAATAATCCTTGCATTTGGTTGTAGCGCCTTATCATGTCTTCGAGACGTCTCAAAGCGCTTGGCAGAATATACTATAAAGTGAATTGACTCTTTATTTTGTGGGCGAAATATAGTGCCTTTCACGCAGGATAGCATCGCAGAGCACTGAAAGAACAACGTAGGCACTGAATAGATGGCAGCAAAGCTCTGCAATGACACTCTGCAGGACTCCGCATCTCCCTTGCTCTTCCCTTCCTCCTACACGCTACTCCTCGCCTCTTGGCTTCTGGCCTCACCCCACCTCCTGCTCCCACGCCCGGCCCCCTCGCTTGCCCCGCCTCCCAGCTCCTCTCGCTTGCCCTGCCTCCTGCTCCCTCGCCCCGCTCCAGGGAGGAGTTGCAAGTGCTCCTGGATTTATCCTTACCAGCTGTTCCGCACAGCTCCACACTCAGTGTTTGCTCGAAGGCCTTATTCTCCAGAGGAGAATCCTTGGAGTCGCTGAAGATAGGAAAGAACCTGTCAGTGAGAGCCAACTGTGCCCAAATGCCAATCAAAAACATCACGCGAGAGACTGACATTGCTGAATTAGTACAGTAACAATGAGAAGAGCTGGGATAACGTACCTCTCAGACTCCGGGCTCAGTAACAGGGATGTAGGTTTCGCTGTAAATTTAAATAACCACAAACTGTTAGTGATGGCACTCGGCTACTCGGTAATCGATAGCGATACAAGCTCCGGACGCTTCTTGGTGATATTTCGGTACCGACGATGGGTTTCAATCATGATTGAGAATCATTAAAGTCTGTGCTTAAAATCACAACATACACCTGGGGGGAGGCAGGGGGGGTTCTAACTGGAAGGAATAATGTAACCTTAAGTAGCGGGTGAATTGGTTGAAAATCACAATCTAGTTTGGCATGTCTGCTAACGGCGCATCTAACGCGGGAGACGAGCATTCCCACAGGCCCCGGTGAAGCCGGGAATAATCCCGAGATTGAGCCGTCTCATCCTGACACCAACACAAGCAATTTCTTCCCCCCTCCCAAAAAATGTAATGAAATTTGGGTGAAATCCGTTTACTGATTGGTTTTCACCCCCAGCAAAGGGTATTTACTTATCTATTGATAAAAATCTGTATATTTAAAAAAAACAGACTTTTAATGGTCCTTACTCATGGTGCAATGGGACATTAAGGGCAAATGACATTTTAAATCAGTTTCACCGAGTAACACAACAACAAAGACACAGAGCTGGAGGAATCAGAGAGGACAGGGCAAGACAAGACAGACACTGACACCCAGAGAGCAATGAGTAAAAAGCAGCAACCAATATCCTTCCACGAGCAGCCAACGTCTCAAAGAGCTTCCCAGGATTTGGTGTAAGGCAGTGACTGTGTATTTGTAGGCAAACGCAGCAGCCAATTTGCGCACATTAAGACACAGAGCATGGCAACAATTCGTTTTTTTTTTCAATTAAACAAAAACTCTGAAGTGTTTGAACGGGATAATGGATATTCCATAAACGGGTGGATTTCCCTGCTCTTCAGCAACGGGAAGCAGATGGGGGAATAAACCGAGGCAATCCCATTCTCGCCTCATTGTGAGGAGCGAGCGAGCAGCAGAGACAGATCCGGACACAGAAAGCAGTATAGAGTATTGAGCTAGAGAATGAGGCAGCAGATTAATAACTTCTTGAAGTAATGAACGTGAACACAAGCCGCTGGAGTAACGGGAGCTACCCTCTGAGAAGAGATAGCAGGACGGACAGGGCCGGGCGATCAACAACAATGAATGAATTGAAGCAGAGAGAGGGTAAAGGAGATTACCTAGCTTTCTGCTAGTCTTGGCTTCTTGCATCTTGTTTGCATTTAATGGGAGGTCCTGTGCAGTGCAGGCTCGAGGGTCCTCAACTATATGAAAACATGGGATCAAGGTATTCGCAGGAAGGTCAGGAGGTGAGGAACTCTCTTCATTGCCGTCCTCCTCGGGCCATTGCATTGGGTTAGGGGATGGCAGCCGGTCATCTGACACCATGTGGGTACCACTGTCACAGAGTCGCCTTCCGGAACAATCTACCTCAACTTCCGCTACCTGCTCCTCCTGCTCAAGCCTGCCCTCAACCCTCAACGGCCTGGCCTCCTTTGTAGCTTTCCCCGAGTCTCCCCTGGCTAAGCTCCTGGCTGACGCTCCCTCTACACTACAGCTCAGGACGTCGCTGAGCTGAGGGTTCAGTCTCAACGAGCGTCTCACGGCCAGACAGGCAGCCTCTGGCTTCTTCACCGCGTCTCCTGCTTCAGTCTTTCTCTTCCCAGAGCCCCTTCTGGCCTTTTCCAGCACAGCCTGGCCGGGCTCCGGCTGTCTGTTAGCGGGTGAATCAGTGTAAACAAGTGCGGGGTAGAGAGGATTGTGCAGTCGATAAGGCTTACTAACATCCAGAGCGATATTGTTCTCCAGCAGCTCCCTCAGCATCGACATTTGGGGAAACTTTCTTACGTTCCTCTCTGGGGCTGGAGAGCTGATGGCCTGACACGGAACGGCGTTTAACACGGAGGCGTTGGATCGAGACGCTCTCTCTCCGCCGGGGTTGGGAAGCACAGAGCAGTCGGACTTGTCTCTCTTCCCGCTGCACCAAGGCGGGGTGGTAGGCCATTTCCTCACCGGAAGGCAGTAGGTGTGCATGTAACTAATGAGCTCAACTACTGAGTGTAACTCCGCTCCTGTGCTAAACTGGCAGCTTTCAGTCCAATGGCTCTCAGCTGACACCCCTACATCTTCCGACTGTATGGGAGCGAAACAAGGCGGAACACCCTGTCCTTGTTTGCCATTCCCGCCCCCATTCCCATTCCCAATCCTGTCACTGAAGCAATTCGATTCCTCATTAGCATCATCACTACTAAGACAATCATCACCGTGGTGCTGAGCCTCACCTTGCTGGTGGTGTGACTGATGATGCTGGGTAGTCCACCCTGGATTGCTTGGGTCTGTATTACTGAGATGGGAACCGGCTGCTTTTAACTGAGGAGGGCAGGTAGCTGAAGTCAGGTACTTGTGGAGCTCTGTGAAGGGTCGATGCTGGCAAGTGCTGTTGGCCTTGCCGCCGCCCTCTTCCTCCTTCATGTTCACAAACAAAACAAACATCCATTACAAGGCAAGGTACAACCAAGGGTTTCCCTGCCTGCCATCGGGTCAAACTCTAGCTTCCCTCAACTTTGTTTGTGTGAAACCAGTGACTCCGTCGCATGCCTCTGCTCCGTGCTCATGCAATGAAGACCCCTCCCCCACCTCCGCACCCCCCACCATACCCGCTCAATTTTTATCAGTCCTGAACCAGGAAACACTGAAGTCAGTTGTTATATCCCCAATCACTGGGCGGATTACTCTTTGCCAACAGCACAGACTGGGGATTGAGCCTGGGATCTGTCTCGCTGCTCTGTACGGCTCGGGGGAACCGCACCAGTTCCTCACTGAGCCACTGGGGGAGCCTCTGAGGAACCACTTGCCAGCCCCACTTTAAGCTGTTGCAGTGTTCAATCTCCAGCAGTTCCTCTTGTGCTGTCGAAGGATTCATTTGCAAAACAAAATGCCCCTTAATCCTGATATTCAACCCAAACAGGACAACAGCAGCTTGACTTCTCTAGTGCCCTCCACATTGCAGGGTAGAATCTAGGAGCACCAGCACCCATTCACTCTTTACTGAAAGACAAAGTCAGGTTCAACCACTTTCTACGTCTGCGCTCCACATCGGCGCTCCAGGGTGATGCAGTAAATTCCAGCGCCTCGGGATGTCCTCCCGACGTGAAAGGCGCTATACAAATGTAATTTTGTATTGTACCTTGAGGAAGGGCCGGCGAGATTGCGGCTTGCGATTACCGGCTCCGTGCCGAGACACCCGGCTCCCTTTCTGCCGCTCGTACGTCAACTGGGCGCTTTGCGGAGCGAGGAGGAGTTTCCTCAACTAAACGGGGAGAAAGCCAGAAAAATAACCACAGCTCCCTCCTCACTCGCAGTTCAATGTCTCCTCCTCAGAAAGTTTACTCTAATCCCAGACAGACAAACACTGCCCACAACGTGACACGCATTTAAACGCAGCCTTTGAGAAAATGTCTGTCTTCAACGACAAGACTGGTTCCTTTAGTATTTTTGCATCCGAAATAAACGGAGACTAGTGCCTTGTGTTCATGTGCAGGGTTGCCCAGAGGTTGGTCCCACTCCCTATAAACAGCAGGAAGATTCCTTACCAGAGAAGCCTCGTCAGGCTGGGAGACAGGAGGTGCCGGTGAGGACACAGCGCCCAGTTGTTCAGCCTCGACCCCGAAAGCAGACAGGCTCACATCGTCCACAGCGATGTCCCCCAGAGTGGCTGTCAGAGCCGCCAGTAATGCCTCATTCTCCTCTTCTATGATCTACAATAGGTGTAAGTGTGGGTTACTCAGACAAGCTGACAAACGGTCACTACACTTAACAGTCAATCCTGTGAACATAAAAGGCGCTGCACCAACCTTCACTGTATTGTTATTTTTAACTCTTTATTTCTCCAAATATGGGGCGGCTCGGGGGACGGGGGTGGTGGGGGGGGAAAGCGGGAGCTCCTCCACTCTTGTGTTTGATATTTGATGTTGGTTAAGGAGACTCCTTAATAAGTTATCCGAGTAACCTTTCGCTTGCTGACTGACAGAAGCAACGTCTGCCAACCCCACCCAACCCATCCCATTCCCCCCACCCTTTGCTCCGTGTCAGAATGAAACATGAGAGGTGAACGACACACACACACACACACACCTGGAAGAGCTCAGAGCCGTCAGTGCTGTAGTGACTGGAGCTGATGTCTGATTGCTCGCTGTCCCACTGCAGCTCCCCCAGGCAGCTGCCCGTGTCCAGGTCGTTCACATCGAGCTGCGAGAGGTCGATCTCCGGGAAGTCGGAGTACAGGCGGTCCTCAGCGCTCGCGCCACAGCCGGACTGCAACGGGAGGAAAGTGGACAGCGTCACTACACAGTCACCGCAGCAACAAAGAACAGCGGAACCCGAGAGAAAACAAGCAAACCGTCTCTCAACTTCATGTCCATGTAAAAACGGGAATAGTTGGAATGTGCGAAACAGCACAAGCACCGATCAATCATCAAGCACCAATTCATCATTGGCTTGAAATCAAATCCCCTGACATCCTAGTTATTGGATGGGCACCAAGCTGGGGGGCCGGGGGAGATGACCACAAGGGCGAAACCTTGGGCAAGTTTCCTTACTCCACACGCCTAATAATAATCTCTCCAAAAAACAAAAACAATAATAAATTGGTCATTTTCAATCCACGGATTTTTTCAATGTTTGTGGGACGCTGCTGTGCGCAATTGGCTGCCGCGGTTCGCCCACAAGTATACGGTCAATTCACTTTACAGCATATTCTGTGAAGCGCTTTGAGACGTCTAGAAGGCGTGAAAAGTGCTATATCAAATGCAAGGATGATTATTAAGAGGTAAGTTTTGAGATGTACAACCATGGCTGTGAGGACTGTCCCATCTAACGCACACGAGTGCAGATTCCAACTTAGGTGATGGGCAATGTGGGCACAGTGTGATATCCTAGTATGCTTTTGAAATAAGCAAAGGATAGCGACTATTTCTGGCACGCACTGTTCCGTAAAATCTATTTCAATATGTGAGTTTTACTTTTCCGATTTCCGTCAATTTAAAACCACATACAAATCCTGTGGTGACGGGGCTGCCTTGATATTAATGCCATGTGTTACTGAATTGAATCCTGCCATTTATATTGTATCAAAAGGGCATCAAAACTGTACAATCCAACACTCAAGGTCAACGCGAGGTATCGCATGCTTCACCTGGGCTGACAATATTTATTCCAAGCTATTTTTCTGTCAAACCGCAAAAAGATTAATAAGCTCATAACTTGGGAGTATCAGCGACAAGGTGAAGCGTTAAACGAGATGTGCCTATTGTCTTCTCTCGATCGAAAACGTATTTCAATTTATCCATTCGTGGGTAATAGGTGGTGTCACACCCTGGCCATCAAGGGTCACTCACTGATTGTGGTCAACAAATGTTATAGTCTTTATAATGGGACGGTAGGCCTTCAGTCTCTCTGCCCCCATCCTCTGGAACTCCATCCCACAGTCCGTCCGCTTACATGGCGCTTTTCACGTTGGGCGGATGTCCCAAGGCGCTGGACAGTCAAGGATTTGTCCCCGAGCTGGGGGCAGGGATCAGGAGGGGTGGAGGGTAGGGAGGGTGGGGGTTGATGAGTGACCGAAGGTGCGGTCGAAGAGTAGGGAAACCAGAAACAGCCAATGGCATTAGTGGCGTTGGATAGACATTAGTGCAATGTGTGTATGTGTGTGTGTGTGTGTGTCTCTCTCTCTCATAAATACTGTGATGGTGGAAATGGATAAGGTGTTTAGTTTATTACAGGATCCAAAACTAAATGTCGGAAATGAGGTTTGAATCATCACTGTCGTGTTAAGTGACCATTCAGTCACACTGAATTGGTATTGAGAGCGGAATTATAAGGTGTATAAAGAGAAGAGTAAACAGAGCCTCACAGTGTGACTGTCAGTCAGCCATTCTCTGGCCAGCACACACAGAGCAGATTCTAGTCCCACTCGCCCTGCGGATTGCGTGCTAACTCGCTCGCCTTTCCCTAAAAACAGTACATAAATAATCCCCTGTGATCGATTCAAATTACTTTTGCTTGTCGACATCAGCTCTTACAATCAGCGCCTCGAAGGCCGTGTCTAGGGTTCTCTCTGAGCTAATCAATTTGAAACGGCTGCTGGAAGTCAGATGTTTATAGTGTGGAAGAACAATCAATCCGAGAGAGCCTTCTCCCCCCACTCACCAACCGCCAACTCTGGTGAAGTCACACTGCAGCTTTACGGCAAGTTTCAAGTAAATGCACTTGAATCTCTAAAGGTTTCTCCAATGCAAAGCAGCAAGCTCTCTTCACCCCCCGACTTTGCACTCATATGATCACCTCACCACTCAAACGTCAAATACAGTTTGTGCGTTCTTCAGAACACTTATCTGAAATGTTTTAATAATAGTAATAATCCATGCATTTGATCCAAGGCCTTATCACGAGCTGGAACCTGAGCAGATGGCCAGGCTGGTGAAGCTCAGGTATCTCTCAGCGGAGGCCTGACTAGTCAGCACGTACGCTCACAGCTACCATCTGCAACGCCCAGCAATACTCTCCATCTGCCCTTCGCCAAGACGATCACTGAGGAGAGGCCCAGCAACCGGCAAACGCCTCTCACCCAATTGGGAAACACGCCCCAATCTTCCAATCGCAGCTTTGAGCGTTTAGAGCTGTGGGGCAGAGTGTTTGACGTGTCCACGTTTTGTTCAATGTCAAGATACTGCCCCTGGTGAAGGGCGCAATGTAATTAGTACGACTTATATCTACGAGTGCTATCAGATTCTCAGACAAAGAATGTTTTGCCCATTTTCTCCCGTTAAACACTTGGGCTCATCTCAAGACTCGCAGCTCCAAACCTGCTCAGGATATAGAGTAATAACACTTTACGCTGTTCTGGGGCGAGAGCCAAGAAGTCACAAGTGCAGTTGGCAGGCCTGAAAGGCTCGCCCTAGGACTCAAAGCTACGACTATAACAAACCTGTCAAGTGAACATTGTAAGTGCTAATAGGGAAGTAATCCTCTGTTTTTCTGCTTCGAAGAATCAAGTAGTTTCTCACACAAAAAAATCACGTGACAAGGTCTGAGGCACACAGATCCGGACCAGTTCACAGGGAAAGAATTAGAGGCGCCTATTTTGAAAAGTGCCCCTTACCTGTTAACTACTTTTTTTGCCCCGTTTCTTTCACTTTGTTGTGAAAGTGGGGTTAGTACTGAATATCAGGGATTTATTCACCTCCCAACAAGAATTTAACAAACTGAATCTGTGATCAGAGATGTTAAACCTTTTGTTTCTTGAAGGGGTGCATTACTTCGTAATGCGTAAAAACCTACATCAGCATTCGATCACTCCACACAGATAATCAGCGGGATTTCAGTGAAGCCGGGAAATAAAGCCAAGTGCTCTTATCTGGCAACAGATGGTGCTAGACTAACGTTCAAAGGCAAAGTGAGGGTTGGACAGAGAAAGTCATGTTTCTACACAAGCTGCCATTGACTGAGGTGCCTGTGCCCTAATAAAGCAAACAAGTGATCACAACTGGAAGAGAAGTGGCTGTGTTGAGGCTATTCTGCAGCCGCATACACACTGACATAAGACACACGTACATAAACAGACATACACACACACACAGGCTGACACTCTTCTAAACCATCTGTAAGTGAGTGCTGTAAGCGAGTGTCTCTGCGATCTGCTGGCTTCCGCAGTCACATACAATATACCGACTCATCCCCGAGTTACAAAACAAGCACTTGTCAAAATCCTGCAGGGATAGCCAGCACTGGATTATAAACCTCACCCCTTTATGACCGTCACAACATTAGATTAACACTTTTCAGACATCTTTCTTTTAAAAACAGCAACAGTGATGACCTGCTAATCTGGTCTGAGTCAAAGAACCAGGGGTAATTCCCTGACATGTTGTGAAGTGGCTTCACGAGATCCCACCCAGTGAGGACGGCTTGCCCTCGACTCAAATCCAGAAACTGAAATGATCAGAAGATAAGTCTTCCCATCTCTGGGTCCAGAGGCATTGTAACACATTGCTGATAGTAACTGAGCACCCATTATTGCACTGAGCAACACAGTACCAAAGTGAGGGCTCAGTTCAGTCAGTCTCCTCTCCGTCAGGGGTTAAAACATCCTCATTATCCCCATGGGGAAAGGAAGCAATGACTGGCAGGATCTGTAACACACCCCAGTGAGGCGTGATGGCAAATGAAATCGGGAATCAGAGTAGGTTACGATTTAATACCGAGTTTATTGCCATTGGCAACGTTTACATGTTTGAACACATTCCATAGAAACCGACTTGTGGCACGGAATTCTTAAAAGGCTACAAGTGCAGCCTATTTATACATTTATTAATATAAACTCCCACACGTGATAAACGAGGCTGAGAATGAATGATCAGCCCAATTAGGCTATTTTGCAGACAGTTGAGCTCAAGTAAATATTAGAAAACTTGGAAGGGTTTTGGGATTAACCAGAACAACATGTGATATATAGGAGATAATGCCCTCTTACTTCTAAAACATCCCAGGGATACGTTTGACTGCAATTAAATCTCATCCATATACTGTGGCAATGTTTACTTTTAATCATACCCTCAGTGACTACAGACACTAGGAAATAACTACTTTATTTATTGCCATTCCTCTTTCTCTCTCTCTTTCTCTTTTCTTCTCTCTCTCTTTCACTCCGTCTCTTTCCCCCTTCTCTGTAGTGTTGCTGTCCTTGCAGTCTTACATCCCTCCCCAAGCTCTGTCCTTTCCCATCAGCAGCTCTCTGCAGGTATTCACTTACACGCGCTCTCCTAATTCTAACAAAGAACCGTCCACACCCAACTCTTGGCTTGATCTCTGGTAGGACTTTGTCAATCACCTGACAGTGACCGCGCGTTGTCCATTCCCATTTTGGGGCTCCGCTTTCCCGGAGTCTGAGCCGTCCGTACCTGTGTTCTTCACTAGCTCTCTCATCACAACAAAGCCAGCACACCATTCATTGTGAGACTCTCTGAATGTCACACAGGCTCTGGTTAGTCATCACATGTGGTTGCCTTGGGATGGACATCTTCCAGCGTCTTGGGACGTCCTCCCGACATGGAAGGCGCTATACAAATGTAATTTGTTGTTAATTTGTGGTCGTTGGGATTGACTGGAAACAGCAAAGCACATGGCAAAATTCAATCTTGCATTCTGCGGTGAGTGGTTGGATTGTTTCTTGACTGAAGCTATGAATCCAGCAGTGAATGGTACATTGACAGCTGTTTAAGGACAGCTGAATGTTGGACTCCACACATTCACAACTG